GACGACAGCTGTTTATGTTCGTTTCAAGTGGTTCCCAAATCGAAACCTTATTCAGCTACCAGAACCAAAAGCACATTTTAAATCAAATATAACAGAATTATACAAGAACTTATTCCATAAGTATATTTACTTTTGCAAATTGTATGTTTCATTTGATCTAAAATCACGTCATTTTGCTTGTTCGTTGCAACCCATTCTAATAAAATATAGATATGTGCATTTAGCATACCAATTTGATTTAAGCTTACAGCCAAGGTGGCCGCGCGCAGAACAGCTAAATTCTTATTTATATTTTTATATCCATTATATAAAAATGAATGCCTGTTACAATACAAATATGAAAGAAGATTATTTCCCCTGAATTAAAGTATGCGTTAATGAAAACTTTATTAGTCGACAGCCACAAAACTGATCGAAAGTTAAACTCATGGGAAGTAAATCTAACCCAATCTATCTCAAACCTACTACAAATCTGTTCTCCAACGAAATTGTCTAGTGGAAATCTTATCATTGTCTCGACATCCGAAATGGCTTGTTCGAACTGCCGTCTGCGCACTGTGATTTGATCTCGTTGAAATCTTTCTTTGAATGTGTGCCCGCCGAGACAATGATACCCTGCTTTAGATTTGCACCACATTTTGCGGACTGTGCTTACAAAATTGGTCAAAAATTAAGCCATCCTACTTTACGAAAGGTCCAAAAGCGAACACATTGAAAATCGAGTGCCAGCTCACACGCAAAAACACAAGGATGTAGAGTGTTGCTGCTATTTTTTCACAAAAACTTGATGCATTTTTTGTCGATTTGACGCCTCTATTTATTTATTGTTTTTTTTTTTTTTATGTGTATAGGGTATAAAAAGTACATTCGCTATACACACAGACATACATATGTATATATATATAGAAATACATATATTGCATGTGTGTTGGTAAATTTATTTGATGGCAAAACCACTTTCGAAGAGTTTCAAACCTGTTTAAGTTTGTTGTTTTGTCGTCTAAAATATAGAAATACACTGCTTGCAAGCAGTATTTGTACACTGCTTTCACACAGCGAGATGAGTTTACTCGATTTATGTTATATAAAAGCAAGATCGAAAAAGCTAAGGAAAAAATATCAGCTTATTCCAAAAAATTAATTAATGAATTTCAGTAGCCTCTACGGTTTTTAAAAGTTGACTTTTTTCTTAAAAATTAAAGTAATTTTTAGCTCACAATTTACGATTTAATTTTTTTATTTAATGTATATATTTAAATGAATAATAATATGCATATATTTTAAGAATAATGCTACTCTTACAATTTAATATTTGCATTAAATAAATAATTATTTTGACACCTTTGAACAGCTGTTAAAAAAATCACCCAGCTTAACATAGCGTTACCAATAATTTTAAAATATTTTTTGCACCGTTTTTTAAAATGGATTTGTTCCTGATCGATACATTTCTCGAAGAGTAAACAGGGCTTAATCTGTACCTATGAATGTATTTTGTTTGCGTGTACAAATTTATGCTCTCCACAAGTTGGTCGAAAATGTCGTTTGATCCAGCGAAAAATAAATTTGATTCTAATTACTTATTTAATGTCGTCTAATATTATTCGACGCAGAAAACTACAAAACTAAAATTAAGTGTAATAACAATTGTTTTATTAAATTTCTAAATTGTATTCAATTACAACTGTTTCAGACAATAGTAATATATCAAAAAAAAATATTCTTTTATAAATTGATAAATAATACAAATAATAAATAGTTAAATGAAACATATTTTAAAAAAATTGGCATTTTCGTTTTTTATTTTTTTTTAAATATAATACGCTATGGAAAAATGTCGACAAGAATCGACAAGAAAATTCGTATAAAAATATTTTCATACTGATTGTGAAATAAATTCACTGACTCCGAAACAGAGAAGATCAAAGTATTGGGCATTCGGTTGCGCACGACTTTTTTTTTCGATCGTGTTTCCTTATGAATTAAATTGTAACGCGTATAATAATCTTTGGATTTTTTATTTTTTAAGAACTCCTTTAATAAAATGGAGAATTTTAAATAAGTTATCTATAAATCTGCAGCTTCAGAGATGTAATTAGTATAAAATATATCACGACTCAAAGATTAAAAATTAGATAATATAAAATGTAAGTTTTAATTGAAAAAAAAATGTAGTAAACTCGAGATTATATAAATATTATTATATATATACAGTATTTATTTTATTGATAATTTAGGATCAACGCCGGTTCTAAGAACATGAGAGCTACAATTTTTTGGGTTTTGCCCAATTTACAAATTTTGTATTCAAATACGCCTCAATAGGAGGTAAAAATTTCTTATTTTATTAATTACATATTTTTACTTTTTTAAATTTATTGGATAGTTTTTGAATTTTTCTGCGTCGGCATTAAATAAATTAATAAAAAGATTAATTAATCTTGTTAAGTATTAGTGTAATTTTAATTATATTGATATATACATATTTATAATTTAATTTATTTGCTAGTTTTTTTTTTGTTGTAATTTTTTCTGTGTCGACATTAAATAAGTAAACAAATAAATAAAAGTTAATAAATACACAAATAAAAATAAATAACTTATTTTATTATTGGTCCTATTTTTTGATTATATTTCAATTTCAATATTAAATTTATTTGGTGCTTTTTGTATTTGTTTTGTGTCGACTGATATTAGTCGAAATTAAATAAATAAACAAAACACAAAAAATAAATAAATCTTGGTAAACATTAGTTGAATTCAATTTATGGCAATTTTTGTCCAACAAGCAGATAAACATAAGCACAAACGCAAAAAAAAACGACCGACAAATATCGGTGCACTTCAATACAAACACACACACACACATACAAAGCACTTAAAGAGTTTAATTTAAAATTTGTTTTCGTAACAAATTTCGGCGCCCATATAAATATGTATCCGTGTGTGTGTGTGTGGTATGCACTTACGCATATACAATATATATACATGTGAGGTATGCACACACGCACATACACATATGTAAAAGCGTGTAACTAAATATATGCATGCGTATGCCAAATACATATGCATGTGTGAGTGAGTGTGCATGTGTGAACAATGGTTTTTTATATGAGAGCAGCGAAGAGCACCAGAAAAAGAAATACGAAAATAAGATTCTATTGGCACACACACAGGCACACTATGTATTTTTATAATTTGTGTTTTGTCGTTTTTAGCTATGCTGCTTCTTATTCGCAGCATTTTAGCAACACCAATACAAATACAAATACTTTTGCAATGCATACACACGAAAAATATGTATGTGTGTGCGTTCGTGTGTGGAAGCATTGTCCATGCAGTGCACATGTATGTGTGTGTGTGTATCACAAATCTAGCAGACATATTATATACAATCCACACACAATATAAATAACACACGCATATATGTATGCGAGTGTGTATGTTTATTTGTAGGGCACTCACACCTTGGGCGGCAAATGCAACATTTTTTTGTTTTCGCTTTACATTAAATGTATTTTATTTTTACATACGATATGCATACATATATTTTTTTTATTTGCGATATTTATTACACAACAGCATTTATCTTTTTGAGCAACACAAACACCCACGAAAATACATTTTTTATTTAATTTTAATAAATATTTACTTTATATGTTTCATTTTACCAAGAGTTGGCGTGTTTTTCTTTTTTATGTGCAACGAGCGCGTACCAAACGACGACCGTAAAAATATAAATACATTCAACGCATCCACTACATATTCATATCTATGTATCTACATATACATATACAAATACAGATATATACATATGAATTTATATTATTTATATATATATATATATATATATATATAGATACAAATATATATATATATAAATATATAGATAGACAGAGAGGCGTCCGCGGCACACGACCGTACGGTTGGACTGTGGATTCTTTTTTACAGTCGTTTAACATTCCCAATCTGAACAATGTGAACAGAGCTTGAAACAAATTGATGCACCTAACAGTTATGTTAAAGACGTTGCAAGCGACCAGTGATAAGAAAATGCAAAAAAAAACACTAAAATCGAATAAGACACGAATAAAAATTAATCAGTCAAAAAAAATTGAGCAGAAACAAATAAGTTAATAATTTAAATTGTCTTAAAATACAATATATTATTATTTTGGTATTTTACACTTAGTAAAAATAACATCATTTGCCAATTTCACATTTGGCCCAGGCTGGTCACACTGTGAAAATAAATTATATTTGATATCGGTAAATGTTTTTGCGACTTCTACTCAAACTAGGCTTGAAATTCTGCTCAATTTATCGCCGGTATTTTCAGGGTTGCGGGCAGACAATTATATTTAGCAGGACTTATGTCGCAAAAAACAGCTATTTCAATTATTCCCTATTAAAATTTGGTGTAATTTATCTTTTTTGCATTGTTTTCATTCCACTACTAACTCTTTCGGTTATATATTTTCTTTTTTTATATCTTTTATAATTGTCAGCTAATCTTATACTCGAGCGCAGCCAAAATGTGAACAGCTGTTCACAAAATCCACACCCGTTAACAATAAGCTAACTGTGAATTTTATTTGATCGTTTACTTGAAGAATTTCGCTTAAAGTTGCTATATCTGTATATCAGTATATCCATTATTTATTTGAAGTGTGGCTTCGATATATATTTTATTTATATTTAAACACATGTATTTTTTTATATACACATATCAGCGTTTCATATAATTAAAAAATCCTATGCGTTCTACTTGATGAGTATTGTTTCGTAGCTTGAACGATAAATCGATAAATTATTTATTAGTGTAAAATAGCGTATTGCTTATTTCAATAATATATGCAAATATATATAATAAATAAATAATATATTTTACAATATAATTTTCACGTCCCATTTTTTTCTCAAATCACGCAAAATCACCAGCAGACGATGGGTACTTTATATATCGATATCAATATGGAAAGTGCAAAAGTGTCATTTCGAACAGAGCGTCGTCGTCACACTGTGTGTGCGTATAGGTGTGTGTGTGCGTGTGTAACTCTTTTATTTGCAAATTCTAACATAATTTATTATTCAAATAAATTCACTTGAACCTTAAGGCAAAGTACCAAAAATATGCGCTAATTGATAAACTAAAAATCGAAATCAAAGAAAATTGTATGTAGTTCTGCTGAATGTTGTGTGTGTGTGTAATTTCGTAGTCATATGTGTGTATGTGCAAGAATATATTTATGTCAATATAAGCCAATAAGTTTATTAAAAGCAGCAGCAGCGCTGTTAAATTAACATTTCAGTTGAGTTAGCAAAATGTGAATAAAATTACATAAACCAAACATGATATGTGCGCTAGCAATGGGGCTGTGTGTGTATTTACATACATATTATATATATTTATATATATATATATATATATATGTGTGTGTGTGTGTACAGCGTTCAAGGTTTTTTGCAAAGAGTTGTTCAATGAAAAAAAGTTCTCATATACTTGTTTTGCTTGTATGTGTGTGTATACGCATACACACATACATACATACAAATGTACCTAAAACCCTAACTGTTCCTCACTTTCTTCGTCTTCCTATTTTTCTTTACAATAACATTTTCAGCTGACAGAAGAAAAGTGCAGAACTGTGGTCCGGCCGAAACGTTGGGTTTACACTGTTGTCAGTAGCTGTTCAGGCAGAAGCAGCAGAAGAAGAAGAAGCAGCAACAGCAGAATTACAACAAACGAGATCGTAAGCTGAAAAAAAAAAACAATAGAACGGTATTTCGCGTTAGCATATCGACATGTCTGATCTTGGCAGCGGGGACGACGGTATCTCAGGATCAAGTAAGTGTTTAGTTGGATAATAAACAAAATTATTTGTATGTGGTTGCAAAGATCCATTTATACGACTAAATTCTTAGTATTATATTATGCTTGTAAATGGGTCTTGCATTTTATAAGCACTTTGTTCATGTAAATGGGTCTTATTCTTATAAAATATTAAATTAATATTAAAATATTTTATGAGAAGCGAGGCACATTTACACGTCCAATTTGTTATGCATTCTAAGTGGTTGCAGAAACACACAAGCACTTTGTTCTTGTAAATGAGTCTTACTCTTATAAAGAACCCATAGGTCGGAAGTAACTATGTGGTCTCAAAACCCAACTACACGACAAATTTATTACGCCTACTTTTCCCATGTAAATCGTTTTTATCCTTCTATATATGTAAATGTGTCTTTTTCTTATAAGGAGCTTATAAATGATAAATAAAATATTTCTTATGATATGCAAGATCAAATTATATTGTTTTTTTTTTATATATATATTATAATTATATTATATTATGATCCAAAAATATTTAACTTCTTTATATGAAATTTTGTTGAACGAATTTTTTTTCAGAGTACAATGCAAGTAATATGGAAGGTTCTTCAAGCAGGAACGAGTTCGAATCATCTGGTAAAGGTATGACCATATTTTAACTTAATTATTGCCGTTTAATTAAAAAACAGTGCTGACAATTGGATTCGCCATAAAAATGATAGTTGTTTAAAATTCGTTATGCTCCCCAGTAGTTTTTAAATTTTTTGTTTTATTTATTATCAACATAAGTATTTATTGTTATGTTAATTTTTTATATGCAGCTGGCAATGTCAATGAACAAGAGTTGGCTACAAAAATGCTCCAAATACAATCAAAACGCTTTTACTTGGACGTAAAGCAAAATCGCCGCGGACGATTTATTAAAGTGGCTGAGGTAAATATAAATAAATATATAAATGTAGTCGAGCCTTTCAAGTCACTATTAAATTCAAATTATCATTATAAATTCAACTTTCGATATTATTTTTAATGGGGGCTCACACACGAATAGTTGTAGTAAGTTGCATGATGAATTTAAGAAGGAATTAAATTTATTATTTCAGTTATATATTTTTATGTATTTCATATTTATATTTTTCGTATACCATTCTTAAACGCACTTTTTTCCTCAATTTCGCTCTTTCAAATGTAGAAAACTCATCCCAGTTATCCGATATATTTGGTTTACTTTTCCTTTTTCTATTCTTATACTTTGATACCGAACGTGTCAGTATATTGGTTTTGTGCAATTTGGGTCATGCTGTCTGTCCGTCTGTGTGTATGAATGCAACTTTTATCGATACCCTTAAAGATAGGAACTTGAAACTTGGAACATATACTGGACTGTGCCCGCGTGAGACAAAGAATAAACATTGGAGTGCTACATCCCCTAGGGGGCATGGAAATTGATGAAATCGATATTCGCAAATCGATCAAGCCAATATCTCCCACAATTTGAATCCTAAAGTCAACAAACTTGGCTGGTAGGTTGTTGGCGATGTCTTTCAAAGATCGGCATGTGCCACGCCCACCGGGCACCCGCCCCTAAAAGTTTTAAATGGCTATATCTTCCGCAGTCTTTGATTTAGAGTCGACAAATTTGATATTTATATTATTGGTAGACGCCTTTAAAAACCCATAACAAATTTGTATGGCCACGTCCACACATGCGCAAATAATCGCCAAAGCCGATATTTCGGATCGTGTAAATCGATAAATCTGCATATCGGCCACAATATGAAGATAGAGTGAGCTTGAAAGGTAACTTTCTGGTAACTCCTCCAAGGAACATTTCAATTTTTAGACCACGCCCACACCCGCCGCCCCCAGGAACTTCCACTTTAGAAATCTGAAATCCGCATATCTTCCACAATTTATAAGCTGGAGTCACCAAATTGTGAATGTATGTTCCTGGTAACTTCCTTAAGAGAAAGAAGCCCGCAATTTAAAAACTTCAGTTACCAAACTTGGAATGTAGATTACTAAGATCGTACTCAAACATTTTTTTGCCACGTCCATTCCCGCCCCCAAAATGTTCAAAAACTCGTATCTCCCGTAATTTAAGAGCCATAGTTATCAAACTTGGAAGGAAGATTACGATGAACCTTTTACAATTTTTGAGGCCACGCCCATTCCCTCCTCCAAAATTTTCAAAATCTCATATCTCCCGTAATTTAAGACACATAGTTACCACACTTCGAAGAAACGTTACTAGCTTATATCTATCGCAATTTGAAAGGCAAACTTGGACAGTATTTCTTGGCTACCCATGCTCTTTGGTACCTGTTATCAGCTTTTATTACATATGGTATTAAAATATTTCGCAGCTGGTTACACCCGACTTCACTCTTGTTTTTATAATTGTTTAAATTAATAATTATTAGGAGATATTATATTAAAAAGAAAATGCAATTTAAAGTAATCATTAAATAAATAATAATTTTTTAAAAATAACAATTGATTTATTAAAATTAAACAAATTAAATTACAAATCAAATTTAAGTTAAAAAATATTAATATATATAATATTTCTGGGGGTGCTTGTATTAGAATAATGATTTTGTTTAATATTAGTGAAATTAACCAAATTAACATTGTATTGTTATTATCGCGCATAGTATAATAATATGTTAAAGCAACAATGTTTACATTGTTCTTTATGCACAATGTACATAGAGTTACCATAACATCCTGTATGCGAGTCTCTTAAAGCGTAATTTAGTCCTTCCATTACATTAAGCAAAGAAAGTCGCGCAGCGCTTGACGAAAAAATAAGAAAACGTGTATATAAACATAACCTCTAAAGAAAACTCCTCGTATTATTAATGGTCATGGGCCCGGTGTTTCAATCAGTAAGCCTGCACCCCACCCCAAATCTCCAACACATTGGAAACTTAAAGGATTTATCAATTAAAACTTTGAGCTATATTGACGACGTTATTAATTTCTGTTAGTGTTGGGTTTCATATTCATATTTTAATTTATTGAATAAAATATACATTTATGCTAATTTTCAGATTGGAGCCGATGGGCGACGAAGTCAAATATATTTAGCGCTATCGACAGCGGCCGAGTTTCGCGACCATCTATCATCATTTAGTGATTATTATGCTTCTTTAGGTACGCAGTTAAACATATTTATATTTTTTAATAATCAATAAACTGATTTAAAAATAAATATTCACACAGGGCCACCAAATACAGACAATTTGCCAGAAGATGGTAAATTAAAATCAGAGATGATGATGAAGGACAATAGACGATATTATTTGGACTTGAAGGAAAATACGCGCGGCCGATTCCTTCGGGTAAATATTATATATTTTATTACAGTTGCAAACAAAATATTAATGTGTAGTTATTTGTTTTTAATATATATATATTTAGAATATTCATATCTCGTTTATTTATTTCTAATTTTCATAATTAGTTAAAGTGTACTTTTGAAAAATGCCACTATTATTTATTAGATAATTTTCTGTCCTAAATATAATTGTTCTTTTTTTTCTTTCCATTTTAATTCAATTTAAATAGGTTGAAAACGTTGAATAAAATGTTATTTTTTCAGACTCACTTTAAGAAGAATCGTCTTCAAAATTTAATCTAATTCTTCAACTTACCAATTTAAAAACCGATTTTTATTATTTTCGCAATTGTATCTATTATTAATATTAATGAATTCATTTTCAGGTTTCACAAACAATAACAAGAGGCGGGCCCAGATCTCAGATTGCATTGCCTGCACAGGGCATGATTGAATTTCGGGATGCGTTGACTGATTTGTTGGAGGAATTTGGCGCTAATGATGGCGGGTAAAGTATTAAAAAAAAAGGTGGAAACAATAAAGTAAAATTAATGTAATCAAGTTAACAAAGTTCAAATTAAAATTAAATGATAGATATTCTATAAATTAAATCGAAATGGTTCAGATAAAAGCCTGATTTGAAAAGTTTATTTAAAGGGAACGAATATAGCTAGTCATCATAATTTAGCCAATTAATCTTTTTCCCAATTTTATATCTCAGATTTAAGGGCGATTTACCCGAAGAACGTCACATGAAAGTGGATAATAAAAACTTTTACTTTGACATCGGCCAAAATCATCGCGGCATTTATATGCGCATCAGTGAGGTATGAAATTAAACAATTTGTATACAGTTGCGTACACTAGCACCTGCAAAAGAAATGTTTTTTTTTTTTTTTAAGAATTATGTTAATTTTTTAGAAGTGGAAAACAATAACATTATTCAACGCTTTCAAATTATTTAAATTTAATTGAAATTAAAAAATAAAGTTTTATGAAAAGGTAAAAAATTAAAATGAAATATTTTTTATTTCTTTTCTTTTATTTTTTTAATTAAATATTCTAAAATATTTTAATTTATTACAGTAATACTAAACATATTTAAAATCAAAATTAAAATCAATCAATTATTATTTTTTTTACCTAACTCTATATATACACTGCGCATTATTTAAATGGTTTAATTAACGTTTTTTTTCTTATTTTTCACAGGTGAAGAACAATTTTCGCACTTCGATAACTATACCTGAGAAATGTTGGCTACGATTTCGTGATATTTTCAACGATTATTGCGACAAAATGAAGAAATCGTCCGATTTAATCACTGCCGATAATAATCTACCGACAACAACAAATAGTCTCAAATAATTGACAAAAATGTAAACCAAGAATAAAAACAACAAACAACAACAACAAATGTTAGTAAAGTTCTCACAAAAAAAAAAAAACAAAAAAATATGCAAAACAACAAAAAGAACAAAGAACAAAATTCAAAGCTTTTTCTGCGTTTAAACATTTTTGCAACGATTGAACAAACAGCTACACTAAGAAAAATGTTTATTGTTGACGATATTATTATGTAAATATTATTATGCCAACTGCTGCTAAAAAATAAGCTATGTGATTATTATAAACATTTGCTTAACTTGATAATAATTTGTTAAAAAAAGCTTTTAATTTAATTTGTATTTATATTGATGAAAAATACTAGAAATTAGCATTTAGCGCTGATTGATACATATATGTATATGTATGTATGTAAATTAGATCAGATTTTTGTTTAATTTATTCATTAATTTAATTAATTGAAATACTTAAAGATGAATAGAAGTATTAAGAGATTCTTCATACCAATCACATTTGCATTGCTAATTCAAATCATTTATTTTTATTTGTCCAACAAAAAAATTTAGATTACGTAACGCAATACATTATTATTATTATTGATGATAATATTTGCAGCTAAAAAATACGCAATTGTGGATACAAATTCGAATAAGCTTATGCAATTGTTTGTTATTATATTACTCTGTACCTTGGTAATATATATGTATATATATATATATTTATTTCGTACTCTGTGAATATTGTGACCAATTTTGTGCAATACTACTCTGTTGCAATTATCAGCTTTATATTTTAAAATATATATATATGGCTAAATATATATACGATCTTGGGAACCATATAAAAATCCTACACCAAAAAAAAATAGTTTGAAGACTTTTTTTTGACTTGTGCAAATTATCCTATGATAATCTGGGATCGGTTCGGTTCAGATCAGCTGCCCACATCAATTAGTTATTCGTTAAATCGATTGTAGAAACAAACAACAAAAAAAAAAACTTGGTAGATTTAATAGTAGTTAAATTAAGTGTATAAATTTCATCATAGAATATATATATATATATATATATATATCCGGTTGATGTAACTTACAAAAGTTTCGTCGTAAATATGAATGTTACAAAAATTGTTAAAGCTTTTAGAAATATGTTACAAATTATAAAAATGTCTTAAAAATACTTACTAAAAACAGAAGAAAAAAAAACGTTTATAAAACAAAAGTTTCAATGTGATCACGTAGAATAAATAAAAGAAATATTAGGAACTAATACAAAATGCATAGCAAAAAAAAAACACCGCAAAAAACTAAGTATGTGTTTATGTAAATCATGCAATACATATATATATATATATATATAACAAAAGTTTCAATGTGATATATATATATATATATGTATATATATATATATATATATATATATATATATATATAAGAATATATATAATTAATATGCAAACTTAAGTGTTACATTAAAATCAAATTTCAGCCTATTTAAATGGATAACTTAATAATATTTATTACTGATAAATGATAAACAACAACCTACACCAATACATAGAGAAAAATATAAAAAAGTGAGCTACACTAAAATTCACTAATTATTATACATATTATATATTAGAGATAAGTCTGTACATTGTATGGCGATTAAACCCCCTTCCCCACCCACAACCACCACTCCTTCCCAGGTAGGTATGAAAAGCAATGAAAAAATTAACAAGAATTGCAGTTTTCGATAGCGACTTATTAGTTGTGTTAGCTCAAAATGTTAACTAACTAAACTAAATCCACACATATACCCATATGCTAAGCTATATATATATATATATATATATATATATATATATACATACATATATATATTTATATATATATATATTTAACAAATTACTGGAAAACAATAACAGCAAAAAGAACAAGATCAATTGATAAGCAGTTAGCACACAGTTATTTCGAATACGAGGTGTGTTCAAAAAGTATCGCGAATTTTGTGTTTTTTCAGATATTATTTATTTATTCATGAATATCTATTTTGTCCCCTTCAAAGTAATCCCCATGAGATATTATACACTTGTGCCAACGGTTTTTCCAATCTTCGAAGCACTTCGGCATCATTAGGGTGTTGTTTTTGGCCAAAAAGTCGCCCACAAGCAACGATGTGTGAGCAGGGGCGTTATCGTGGTGCAAAAGCCAATTTTTGTTCTTCCACAAATCCGGGCGTTTCTGGCGGATTGCTTCGCGCAAATTGCGCATAACTTGCAGGTAATATTCCTTATTGACCGTTCTACCCTGTGGCAAGAACTCATGATGCACCACGCCCCTGCAATCGAAGAAAACTGTCAGCAAAACTTTCACATTCGACCGAACTTGGCGCGCTTTTTTCGGTCTTGGTTCGTGCGGCAGCTTCCATTGAGATGATTGAGCTTTGGTTTCCACGTCGTAACCATAAACCCACGATTCGTCACCAGTTATGACCCTCTGGAGCAAATTTGGGTCGTCGCGGACAGAGTCCAACATCTCATTAGCAATGTTCATGCGATGCTGTTTTTGGTCGCAATCGAGCAATTTTGGTACGAATTTCGCGGCGACCCGTCTCATGCCCAAATCATTGATAAAAATCGAATGGCATGAGCCAATCGATATGTCTAGCTCCTCAGCAACTTCTCTAACGGTGATTCGACGATTGGCCAATACCATTTTCTCCACTCCATTAATTTTTTCGTCTGTTGTTGAAGTGCTCGGGCGTCCGGCACGCTCTTCGTCGTTCACATCTTCTCGGCCTTCTGAGAACATTTTGTACCACCGATAAACGTTGCTTCGGTCCAAGGTAGCTTCTCCGTATGCCACAATCAACATTCGGAATGCATCCGCGCACTTAATTTCGTTTTTCACACAAAATTTGATACAGGTTCCTTGATCCATTTTTTTGAATAGGTAAAAATCGAAGACGATCCAAAACACGTGCAAGCAAAGCAGCTGTCAACAATTAAGTGAACATTCAAAATGGCCGAGCTTGTCGGCATAAGTGAGAGACATGAGTACCAACATTACGCTACAAAAAAATCGAAATTCGAATATACGTAACCCGCGAAAATTCAAAAATTCGCGATACTTTTTGAACACACCTCGTACAGTGAATTTATCTATTATGTTTCTTTTATGAAAAAAAAAGAAAGAAATATTTTAAAGAAATTTTGTGAATATGAAGTATGAAAATAAAGTTAAATCAATTATCCCTTCATCCGCATACTTTACTCAGCAATTGAGTTTTTGAGAGTCAAAGTCAGCTTTATATAAATCTCTATTTACTTTGATATTGTAGTCAATTAGCTGACAGTTCGACTATAAGTCAACAATATATACATATATATATATATATATATATATATATATATATATATATATATATATATATATACCCCAGAAAACAGTTCTGTTTAAGTTTGGGACTGGAGGCAGTTAGGTAGTTTAATTAACGGAAAATATTATGATATGAGAATTTAACAATTTTAAAACCGTGTGTTCACACCCAAATTGATGAAATTCATATTTTTGAAAGCAAATGGAAAAACTAAAGTGTGAGATAATAATTATTTGAATCGCCAGAAAGATGTAGTACCTATAAAGACTAATAAAGTAGCGGCGAGCAAATAAATTATTTTTTTTACCTTTTCAGGCTCCACAAATAAAATGAATTGCGAATTCGATCTGTAAACAGGACTTTAATGACTCGTAATTAATGACTCGCGATTTTCATTATACTTTTTAGAAACCAACCGACTTCGGTTAGATTTGCAGCAATGGATAGATATATACGAATATTTTTGGAGTTCTATTAATAATTATCAATAAAGGAAGAGATAGATAGGGAATAGATGTAAATATTTAAGTTTTATCAATAACTATTAATATATTATCAATAATTATTTAGACAGGTATTTTAGACTTTTTTTGTTGTTGGGTGCTGTACCCACATTAATATTTATTCATCGCAATCTTCAAAAGTTTAGTAACAGACTCAAGTGTCGTTTAAACTATGAAACACACATATATATATTTCCTACCGATCGATTTCGCCAAAGACGACATCGAGAGTGCCAATGATGGCGACCACATCGGCCAACATGTGCTGCTTGCCAATCTTCTCGAGGGCGGCCAGATGAGCGAAGCCCGGCGCCTTAATCTTGCAGCGATAGGGACGACTCGAACCATCGGATACAAGGTAGACGCCAAATTCGCCTTTGGGCGCCTCAATGGCCGTGTAGGTGGCACCCGGTGGTACCTGATAGCCCTGCGTGAAGAGCTTAAAATGATGGATGAGCGCCTCCATCGACGTCTTCATTTCGGATCGAGTAGGAGGCGTCACTTTGGCATCGTCTGTTTTAATTTCGCCAGCGGGCATTTGATTCAAGCATTGATCAATGATTCTCAGGGACTGACGCATTTCCTCTATGCGACACAAATAGCGATCGTAGCAATCGCCTTTGGTTCCAATTGGGACATCGAAATCCACCAGATCATACGCATCGTATGGCTGCTGTTTTCTCAGATCCCATTTGATGCCCGAGCCACGAAGCATGACGCCACTGAAGCCGTAATTTAGCGCCTCCTCGGCGGAAACAATTCCAATATCTTCGGTGCGCTGAACCCAAATACGATTTGTGCTTAATACATCCTCAACTTCATCGAGCCGTTCGGCAAACTTGGAGGCAAACTCATAAATGTCATCCATTAAACCCAGTGGCATATCCTGCAACGCATCAAGAAGTTTTAAAATCAATTCCTATTGTTATTGGTACTAAAATGAATGTTATTTGCAATTTACTAGCGAGACTCCTCCTGGTCTGATGTAGGCTGCATGCATTCTAGCGCCAGAGACTCTCTCATAAAACTCCATCATCTTCTCGCGTTCCTCGAACAACCAGAAGAATGGAGTTAAAGCACCCACATCCAGCGCATGGGTGCCAATAGCCATTATGTGATTCAGAATCCGAGTGATTTCGCCAAACAATGCTGCAAAGCAATAAACATTGATTACAAATCGAATAGGATATATAAATATATTTCATTTTTGGGAGATAAAAACAAAAAAAAACTCAGTTGAGTGCCAAAAAAAATGTTTAATTAATTTTTTTTTAGAAAATTATAATAGAAAAGAAAAATTAATCAGCTATATATATATATATCAATACATTCAATTGTGAAAGAAAATTATTTGAATCGTCAAGAAAAATAAAAAATTGAAAAAAGTTATTTTGAACAAAAAATATAAATAAGATTTATTGAGCACTTACTTCGAATGTATTTGGCGCGCAGCGGCACCTCAATATTGAGCAGTTTCTCAACAGCGAGTGAATAGCACTGCTCGTTGCACATCATCGACACATAATCCAATCGATCAAAATATGGCAATGCTTGAGTATAAGTCTTATACTCAATAAGTTTTTCAGTGCCGCGATGCAGGAGGCCAATATGGGGGTCTGCACGCATCACCGTCTGCAACAAAAATGTACTGCTGTTAGTTGTTCGTTGTTGTTGTCAAAAGATGATTACACTTACCTCGCCATCCAATTCGAGCACGAGTCGCAATACGCCGTGAGCAGCTGGATGCTGGGGCCCAAAATTCAGTGTTAGATTGCGCACCGATTTCTCAACGGGCACCACTTTGCCTAGTGTTGTTAAGCATCACATAAATACATTTGTATTAAATATAAAATATTTATATATATGTAAAAAACATACTGTTCCATGGCGGCACCTTCCACAGCGAGGTGACTTCATCGGGATACATAACGGGACCGCTGAATTGTTTAATAAATTCCGGATCGGGATACCATTTTGCTGCATTGCGTTGCTGGTTTGAGCTGAGAACAAATAAAATTATTTGAAATATTATCTTCTCATTGTAGTCACACTGATTATATAAGTCTCGGCTGTCTTTCATTTGTTTACCTAAGAATGTTGCTGCAGGTTGTTGCTGCAATCGATGTTGGCGTCTTGAAAAGTTGGGCGCCTGCCCCAGCCACCGAACGCTTAAATATATTAAGCATTATTATTTTTTAAGTAACTTTGAGACTTTTCACCCAAAACAGAGCTGGCAAACGTCAAAGTCGGTCAGCTAATCAGCTGTTCGCCAGTGTGTGCAGACGTGCAATAGATCAGCTCAACTCGTGCTTGCAGTTATCGATGGGCAGGCAATCCACAGTACTCAACCAAAACTTTATTAATTTGCTTCTGCGATTTTTTAGTTCGTTGTATGTAGATATAATTCAATATAACGAATAACTAAACATATATATATAATACACAATAAACAGCTCTCGTCATGCAGTGCTATAAAATACTGACCAGTAATTAAATAATAATGTAGCCGTGTTTCCATATAGAATGTATATCGATAAATAAATATTGTATATACATATTTACATAAATAAAAGAAAACAGTTTAATTGGAAAATATTTAATAAATCACACTTTGATGTATTATATTATATTTGTATTATATTTGTGCTAAAAAAATGTTTGCTGAAAATAGGGAATCTATTGCGAATAAATACATAAATAATAAAAATCATGTTAAATATTTTTATAATTCCCAATTTTGTAGTATTTCTCTAGTATTAAAATAACAGTTATACACACAAATGTTACATCTGTGACTGGTAACTGCAAAATACTTGCGAAAAATATTTGAGATACATATAGATTGCTGAGATGCAGCCACACTGTCAGTTTCGTATTATTTTTTTACACCTTAAAACATAGCTCTTTTTAAATACTACTTATTAATATATACGTAATCTAATAAATTATTACGAAGACATGCTGTGGACACGGAGGCGGCACATATTAAACAAAAATAAATCAAAAATGTGATTTGCTGGAAAAAATGTAAAGCCCAAAAAAAATTACCCAATAAAATGTATACATAAAAAGTGGCCGCTGTGTGTGTGTATATTGCGTGCAAAGAAAAGAAAAAAATGCAACAAAATAAAGCAAGCAAATTGTTTTTTACATGACTTAATATTAAAGTTATTTTATGCATTTGTTTATTTATTTTAATTTGTGGTTTATTCATGAACATTTTTGTTAATTGTATTGGGTTTTTTGTGTATGTATACAGAAAATTTGTCGGGCTCAATGTTTATGTATTTGCGTCTGCTTCTAGTAAGGCGAATGTGCGAAAGAAAGAGCGAGAATGTACTTTCTCTCTTCTTTCGCTCTCACCCTCTCGCTCTCGCTCGTTCTCTGTGTGAATTTCTGTGCGAAGCAACAACAACAACAACAACAACAATATTATTTGCCTTGCCAAAACAAGCCATAAAAGTCCTGATGAACATCGAACAAAGCATTTTTTTCCCAACGATTTCGTTTTTGTCAATTGCATGAAAATATATATGTTTAAAAAAATAGTGAATTGTATTTTAAAAGTGTTTACTTGTTTTCACACTTAAATTTATAAATGTCCCGTTTGAATTTAAATTGAAAAAAGAAAGAAAAAATTGTATTTATACAGGCAGCCTGTATACAAGATCACAATCGCCGGCATTCAATGGTTCGAAGTGCATAGTCAAAACAATGTGTACATCTGAGCTGAAATATTGTTTATAGGCATATGTATGTATGTATGCGTGTATACAGCTAAGTTTAAACAAAGTATATATGTATGTATATATATTTAAATCCTTATATGTATATATGAATATATATATTATATATAATTTCTACAGCTGAGCATGAAACCAATGAAAATGATCCTTTTAAATAATATGCGTGCAATCCATTTCTATGTTAGAAATAACTCACAAAGAAATGTAAATATTTTTTTTTATTATTATTAATATAATAATAATTAAATAAGATACGTTTCATTGAAGCGAAATGCTTAGAGCGCTGTCATACGTACACATACGTACACATATATACATATATATATATGTACATACGTACACATATATACATATACGTATATATATTTACATTATACTATGTATAATGTATATATACATATACATACATATATAGAGATTTGTGTTTCCATATTAATACAAATAATGATTTAATAGTGAAAATAATTTTAAAAGAGCTGGTTATGTTTTTTCTCTGGTATTTTTTATATATAAAATTCCTCTTTTGTCAAGAAAGATTACTATATTTTTATTCGTTGTTTTTCTTATTTTTCTACGATACAAATAATTTACAAGATTCATTGACTTAAATAATTTTGAGAAATTAAATAATTTTTGTCAAAAATTGAATTTTTTTGTGAAAACACTTGTAAATAACACAAATAAATCCAACGATGAAAAATTAAATTTGTTATTTATTTTTTAGTCCATTTGCATTATTGATTAGGAATCTCGACGATCTTTCCTTTGGCAAAATTGATCGGGGAAGGTTAAATAAATAAAAATTAAGTACAATAAATAGTACAAATTAAGGAGTAACTAAGCTACAACAAATAATAAAAATAATACCACAAATAAATAATAATAAAAAATAATTAATTATAAATTATAATTAGAATTACTATATATTATATATTATTTAACAATTAATAAATAATAAATAATAGATATTAATTAATAAATGAATGCGTTTCAATTGCATTGCAGAGACTTGAAGGGAGATCGGCATGTTGATGGCAGACGCATCTCTATTTTGGTTACGAGCAAGCAACAACAACAGAAAAAACAAAAACGACTGGCGACAGGAGGAAGGAAAGACGACAAAACCAACGAGTCACAGACACAGCGAACAGCATTAATCGATACACCGATAACTGAGAAAAGATAAAGAAAATAAAACAAATAAATTTAAAAAAAAATGACATACGATCGAAAATTGGGCCTGAAAACTGTTGCCTGGAGAACGTTGCTTGATCAAAAGAATGCCGAATGCGAAGAGTTGCCCAAAAGTTGTTGCCTGGAAACGGAGCCGGAAATTTGGACCAGCAAAGCCGTAATACTCCGGCAACAACGTTTGCCCGAGTCTCGAAATACCAATATGAATATCAATACAACAACAACTCCACCGACGATCATCGATAAATCTATGCCAAAACAACAACATCACCAACAAAAAAATCATCGAAATCGAAAGCAATCGAAATCGGAGCCGCCTCAAATGCCAGCAGCCGCGCATCGAAAGTCCAAAAGTAAAAGTAAGACTAAATTAAATAAAAGTGGAACAACTGATTCTGGTTCTTTTTCGGTGAACAATAACAATTCCACACACAATTCCCTTACAATTTGTGCTGGCTCACAACGCATCGGGTTGCATCCGGATGCATTCCACTTGATGACGACGATCCATTCACATAGCAACCAGTGCAAAATACTCTGTACACCAGGCATCAATCGAAGCAATAACAATAATAATAATATTAATAATCAGAGCAAGAGGAATAAAGTGAAGAAGAAGAAGGGGAGCAAATTGGCGTTGATACCGTTGCCCACGTTGGGCGCAACATCCTTTGTCACTCTGCTAACGATCATCTGCATTGAGACCGTGCTGCTGTCCACAATGTCTAGCTGTGCTAAGACCTTCTACATGCATTGGAATACATCGAACAGCATGTGAGTACCGTCCATATATATCTCTTTTAAAAATTTACCCAGAGAGACTTTTATTTGAATTAAATTAAAAATAATTTTTTATTTATAAAATTCCAAAAAACAAAAAGAAATTTACAAGATTTATGTTTGTATTTTAATGTAAAATGTGAATGAGCTAAACCCAGAAATAACCCAATTAGACAAAAATAAATAGTATGAATTAGTTAAGATAAACCCCAATCAGAAATGCATGCGAAAATTTTAAATACGAGACAAGACGCATTTTACAACGTATTTTATTGATGGAAATAAAGGGCTAAAAATGATCAGATGAAAAGTCTATTGTAATCATTATAGAGTACTCGAAAGAAGGTAAAACCAAGAAATAATTAGTAGTACACAAATTGAAAGAAAGCTGGATGAAGTAATGGGTAAGGCTAGAGGAGAAAAAACTAATACACTCCGCGAAATTCGATTAAAGGCACTCGTGTTTATGGTGCTAAAAACTAAGCCTAACGGGGATTTGCTTACACATTTTATAACGGCAGTTCTACTTACACTGTTATGATGCATTGGAATGAAAGTTCCGTTAGCGTTTTCCAAGATTTTAGCATATTTGTATTTTTTTTAGCTAGTTTGGGTCTGAAACTCAATTAAAAGCACTCACGTTCTAAACATCGGAAAAGGAAATAGGGTGTTATCTGGAATTTGAAATTATATATATATACATTAGTTGCATAACAAATTTGGAATAGGAAAGGAATAAACACTCTAACCTGAGGACATAGCGAATGTCCTGGCTTACAAGGATATTGGATTGAGCAACAGTCAAATGCCATTCAAATTACGTTGCTCGGCATTAGCAGTTCATAACATGTTAAAATTTAAAAAAAAATCTTCAAGAAATGCTAAAAAATCTTACGTGCTAGGCTGGATACAAATGATACGGTATCTAAAATTATATTTGATTTAAGGTTACAAACATCGAAAAATCGTGTGCAACAAATTTTATCAGGCAGTGATCGATTCGTTTGGAAGAAAATGAGGTCAAAGCCAGTATTAACGAAGGCACACCTCTTAGCCAGAATAAATGTTACAAAAAAAAAAAAGATGTTCAGCGCCCAGGAGTGGCCAAATTTCGATGGTCCAAACGGCTTAAAGTACTACTGGCATGATTTAAAGAAGTCACAGATTTTGCCCTACTCGAAGCTGTGGCGGTTCTCCACTCATGATCTGAGCTGGCCGCATGTGCTAGAAGGGTTATATAAACTTGTTGGACAAAGTTTTTGGTGAACTTTATGGATCATCAACCAGACCCAAATGCCTTTTTCCTTATTCCAGAAGGACAATGCTCCAACATGCCGCGGGCCTGTCGTGGGTGGTTTCGTGATAAGGATTTTAAGCTTTTAGAGTGGGCAGCAAGATTACCCGACCTGATGATAGAGAACATGTAGGGACACCTGTACCGTCGATTTTAAGTAGGAAATCGACAGTTGAGCAGTTATGAAGGCTGTCGTTAAGGAATGGTCCAAAATCCCTGATCCTGACTGAGTTCTAAATAGTTGTTGAATCGATGTAATATCTAATTTTTTTTAGTTATAAACAAATTTGGATGCTGAACTCATTATTAAGTTGCTATTTTCTTGATATTTCTACATATTATATTAATTTTATTAGCCCTGCCTTTAATCGAATATCGCACCTAAACTTCACACTTAACAAAAAAATAAAAAATTAACAAAAAATGTTATGCTAATGTTACAAATTTAACTCTTTTTATATTTGACGTGAATTTAAAACAGCAAACTTTTGCAAAACAATAAACAAATTTTTAATTTTATAATAAAAAAATCAAGTGCCGTTAATTGAATTTCGCGGACTGTATGTATGAATGCAGTTCCTCCAATGGCGAATTAATGCAATGGGATACGCATTTTTGTACATATATGTCATATATATATGTTCTTTTTTTAATTAATTAATATACAGTAGCAACAAATATAATAGCACCACTCTGACAAGAAATGTTTTAAATTTATAAGTTTTAGGAACTTATGAATATATATAGAAAAAAAATGAGAAAGGAAAAAACACAATTTAATTCACCGTTTTCAACTCATTAAAATTTAATTAAGATTACGATTTTTTTTGACTTTTTCCTTTAAATGGAAAAAAAAGATAAAGATCTAAAATAATTTGAAGAGCAGAACAAACTATATTTTCTAGTTGCATTACTGAACAATAAATTAAAAATGAACATTTCAACTGATCTCGCTTCAATAATAGTTTGTTTGCAGTGCGTATAACTTAAGTCAAACAGATATCCTTTGAGTCTGCTGAGCGTATAACAAGTATTTTAAAGTATTTTAACATACAATACACATACATTCAAATACATATACACAGATTTTATATGTACTTAATGCAATGGGATATGCTGATATGGATGTGGATGGAATACGCAACGCAACTCAATGCATAACAACGCACTTCAGTTGGAGTCCAGGGTTCAGAAAAGAAACGCGCACGCACATGTCTATGTGTATATATTATGTCAACCCTCAAAGCAGTCGCAGTCGCATCGCGACCTACAACGCTTTTACTGTTAATGCTCGTTTGTTAGATGGGGTGGGGGGGGGGGGGTGGGGGATGGGCAGGGGTTGGAGCAAGGAGAGAGACATAGACGAAGAAAAGGAGTGTGAGAAATGCATAGAAGAATTACTCAGCGTCTTTTTACATAAGCTTCTTGCTATGCGTGGTGAGGTGAGGTGAGTTCGGGTGTGGGGAGTTGAGGGCATGCGTCTTGCTTGTGGGTGGCATCTATTCTTCCTCTTGTTTTGCAGTTGTTGAGTGGCTGGCTATAATTGATAAATTCTTATGTATATGTTTTTGAATGTGTTTATAGGTATGAGTTGAAACATATTAACTATAGGCACAGGTGAATCAAGTCAATTTAAACAACTTTAAAAGGAAAAAAAATCATAAATTGTTAGCTCTATTTAATTTAAATTTTATAATACATATTAAGTAAAATAGGCCGTGTTCAAAAGCTAAATAAAAAAAATAAATAAATAAACATTTTAAAGCAAGTGTACTTCATAAATATTTTTTAAACAAAAATCTTTTAAACCTAAAAGTATTAGTCTCTTTTACTATGCAAATCAACTGGTTTTTGTTTTATGTTTTATTATTAAGGGTCATGCTTTAAATACAGTCAAATTCAGACTGCCCAGAAATAATTACATAAATCAAGTCATCATTTTGATGAACGTTGTTGGTTGGTCAACTTAATGCACAGTGTACGGTTATCACATAAGGAAATTAAATGCTTCCAGTTTGAAATTCAAATAAAACTTGTAGTTCCAATTATTCAATCTACTTTTAAAGATATATTTTTTAAAGGTAGAAGTGTCCATAATTTATTCAAATTTGTATCGGTTAATGAACTTTAGTTAGACTTAATGGTTTTTTATCGTTAATTTGCCAGTCACATTTTAATGGAAATTAACGTCTGAATGTAAAATAAAAATGGAAAAATTTGGAATAAATAATTCAATATATATATAATATAATATATACATATGTTGAAATGTAATTATTAAATTTTATTTTTAATTTAATTTAATATTCTTTTTACTTTTTGTACTTTTTATAAAATTATATATATTATAAATTTAATATATAAGAAATATAAATTGGAAATAACTTAATATGAGCGTAGCAGTTAAAAACCAAATCAGTCAACTATTCAAGCTGCCCTCCTATATATATATATATATATATATATATATCCTATATATACGTATATAACTATACGTTTACCTGTAACCCTAGTCGCTTTTATAAGATGTGTAGAGGCGTGAGTTTGTGTGTGTCGCTAAAGTACTAAGTACATGTAAAATATGCGTACTTCATCATTAGGGATGATTTTTGATTTACAAAGGCTCCCAACAATAAAATGGAAGGAAAAAACAAAGAACAACTTGAAAAGGCACAAGGGAAACTGTGGAAACAGACGAGAATGGAGAAGGACGAGAAGGAGAAGGCAACAGCAGACATACACAAGTGCGTGCGTCGTGTTAACCACTACATGGTTTCCTCAGAGGTGTGGACAGGGGGTTGGGTGAGGGGTGGCGGAGGCGGAGGGGGATCTCCTTGTCGGTCGAGTTGCAGCTGAGGTTCTTTTTTATACACCCATTAAAAGTAAGTAAGAAGCGTTTATGGAAAGAAAGTTTGTAACATGCAGAAGAAAATAACTCCGACAACTATTCTTCATTATATAATATTAAATAGTACATTCTATTTTGAATTTAATTTAATCTATTTTTTCTTTTTGTTTATTTTTTGTGTCGACTAATATGCATTTCATATATTATATGTATATTTTTAAAATATTAATTAATTCACGCAACAAATATTTACCCAATTTACTTTTAAATACCACCACCAATTTTGTAAATATTTCTTATTTTTTTAAATTTAAATAACATTTAAATTTAATTAAATTGATTTGCTACTTTTTGTATTCTTCTTATTAAAAAAAATAGTAAAAAAAGTAAATATTATTTTTTAAAAAAATTATGAAATACTTGATATACTTTACACAATGTAGACATTCTGTTTGCCCTTTGGGCCATTTTATATATTTAACAGGGTATCTGCTAGTCGAGATGTCGCGAACTAAAGCGCATTCATAATTGTTCGAGAATCTGCTTTGCGATTTGCACTCAGAGTCAACATTATGCAAACGCAGATTCAGCTTCACTTCTCTCAACGTCGAACATTTGTAAAAATAAATAAACGCATTTTTTGCCATACCCTCTCCCATATCAACAGACCAAGAGGGGAGCTTTAGGCTGGGCAGGGATTATAACTTGTTGATTTGCGTAGCGCTCCTCTTTGTTCAGCTCAGAGATGTTTTCACTGGGACGAAATGACTCCTCTATTTCCGTCCATCTCTTTGCTCGCAGAATGTGTTCAACTGCTAGATACCCTGTCTTCTAGATACCCTGTGTCATCTGCTCTATTAGTAAAACAAACAAAAATTATTTAAATACTTAACTCGTGTCAAGTTATCGATAGTATTGAATAAACTCAATAATAGAAATAGGGAGGCGTAACCATCGATGCTTATCGATTTGTCAATCGATTCCCATAAAGTATTTATTTATGAAAATATATTAGAATATTCGAAAATGATTTTTTAAATTTTATTTTATTTATCTTATTAGTTTTTTATTTAATGTGGATAGTTCACAATTTTTAAAAAAGTTTATTATATTCTTGTATTAATCTTTATAATTTGCTTGGTAACTCAAATTTTAAATAATTTTATTAAAGTTGGGTGTAAACATTTAACTCAAAGATTGAGAATACCCAGAAAAAAAACAATCCGAGCAAAAAACGTTAATAATTATAGACTCGAATTTATTTATTAGATGAAATAAATGAATAAATTATAGATTAGTAATATGGTGAAATAGGTTTATAATGAAATTAAATAAATGAATATTTAAATTACAGACAAGTAATATAGAGAAAAATGCTATATTAATTTACATTTTTAATAGGGTTCTATTCATGATAACTTTATCTAGTTATGTATATTCCAAAATTGCAAATTAAATTTTTATAAGTCTAATTATTGAAATTATGCAGAATAAGGCTCAAAAAACTCAAGAAACCTATAAAATGTATAACAGATGTGATAAATTATTAGAAATAGAAAATTAATTAAATACTTAAAAAAAGCAAATATGAAAAATATAAGTCATAAAAATAGACTCAAGAATTATGCATTTTCAAATAAATATCTTTATTTTATATAGATATTATATATATAAATTTTTGTATGGGTTCCTTTTGCAGATTTCGGATTGATAATACGGATCACATTATAGACGTGAACAAGGGCAATTTGGCGTTTGAATTCGATCAGGTGCACATTATTTGTCCCGTTTACGAGCCGGGCGCATTTGAGAATGAAACGGAGAAATATATAATCTATAATGTGTCAAAAGTGGAATATGAAACATGTCGCATAACGAACGCCGATCCGCGAGTAATAGCTATATGTGATAAGCCCCAAAAATTAATGTTTTTTACGATTACGTTCCGGCCATTTACACCGCAGCCAGGTGGTTTAGAGTTCCTTCCTGGAAATGATTACTACTTCATTTGTGAGTAGTCGCTCCACTCTAATTGAATTCTCAATGTATGTTAAATTATTTATGTATATTTTGTTTAATATTTTAGCGACTTCATCCAAGGACGATTTGTATCGTCGCATTGGCGGTCGCTGTTCTACAAATAATATGAAAGTTGTGTTTAAAGTGTGTTGTGCCGCTGAGGAGAAGAACAAAACAACGGCACCGACGACGCTCATTGAAAATACGGGTGGTGCCGGAACAGGTATGGGAACGGGAACTGGATCCGTTGATAATACGGCCATCAATGTGGATGTAAACGTGAATGGCGTTAATACAATTGGTGTCAACACGGCCAACGCTGGCAACACTGGCAACATCCATTTGAAGCCCATCAACGGTCTGGGCACCTCGATCAACACAAACATTGATCAATTCAATCGCATACCCATCCAACCCAATATTATTGGCAATAATATTGGACAAAGTGGAGTTGGAGGAGGAGCTGGTGGCGTTATTTTATCGCCTGGTCATGGTAGCATTAATATGCTGCCACCGGGCCGCGGTGGCATACATCTGACATATCCGGGTCATCATCATATACAGACGGGCATTCGGATTAATAATGTGCCAACGAATGTGCAACAGAATCAAAATAATCCAAATATGCATTCGCATCCGCCGCCGCCGCATCCGCATCACAAGCAGCAAGCCGGCAACAATAATCTAAATGCGAATGGGAATGGTAAGAAAATATCATCAAATGATAATGATCAAGATAATGGTCAGAATCAACATCAGCATCAACATACATACAACATACATCAAATTGGCATTAATTCAACAAATAATACTCATCATCAACAATATCCACATCAACAACATTATTTATCGCCAGTTGTTGTTGACACCAATCACAGTAATATTGTTCAGAGCACAATTAACTGGCCGATCACTGCCAATCACTGGGACACTAATCCAAACACAACTTCAATCAACATTTTAACAACAACTAATACAAACACAAATCTAAATTTAAATAGAAGTAGCAACACCAGACTTAATCAGACAGTAAGGTTGACCCACAATATTGATAAGATGAAACGTAAGTAGTACTTCTAGTAATGCATTCTCTTTGCATTCCTTTCTTGCATTCATGCATTCCTCCATTTACCCCAAAAAATTACCCGTCCAAAATTTCTAATCTTACTCTAAAAAAAAAACGATTTTTAAAAGAGACAAAGTGGATTTATGACTTTTTTTTCTCTCTGAAATTGGAATATATTTCCCAATATATATATACACATATATATATATATATATATATACATTATATATAATATATAAAATTCATAATCAACTTTTATAGTTTTAGTTTAGATTTGAAAATATTTTATTGACTAAAGCAGGCTATATTGATTTCTTCACTTTTATTGAGTTTTTTATACGTTTAAAAAATTGGTATTGAGAATGACATATGTAAAATTATGTCTAAATGCAAATATATAACGGAATTTAATTTGTTATTTGTAGTTCTTAGGAATTCCAAAGCGCAAAAATATAGAAAAACAAAAAAGTATTTGTTTAAATATACTAATCAAAAGTAAAAAAAAACATCTAAAGTAAAATTATTTTATTTAAAATACTAAACAACATTAAAAAAATAATTTAAAAAAAAGAAACGCTTGAAGTATTTTTAAGTAGTTTTCAACACTAACATTATTTTGAACAATCCCAAGAAAAGACTGTTGCTGTGGAATAGTTCTTCGAAAATAAAAAGCAAGCTAAATCATCCATAAATTTCTCATTTAACGAAATTTAGAAAAAATATTTTTTTTTTTAAATAAAAATAAATACATATATTTTTAAGATGGAAAAATATATTAGGAATGTATGCAGTTTTTTTAAGTACACTTGAACACTTACATAAAAAAGATTGCCGTCAATGAATAAAAATAAAAATAATAATTAACTTCGCGTCATATCTAAATAAAAAAAATATAAAAAAATCCGACCAATTTCCTGATATGTTGTGTGTATGTATTGGGATCATTATTATGCCAGCCACGATGATGAAATTAGTGATTTTGAATTTAAAGCTTAAAAAAACGAATTGATTTAAACGGTTGCTTTTTACAGATGATCATCACGGCTATGACAAGCATCCGAATGAGGTGGTCAAGAATGAGGAACTCACCTACAACAGCGGAACGCAACAGAGTCATCTGTGCAAATGGAACTGGAACTGGATCATTGCAATAATCACAATTATTTATCGGTGAATTATGCCTGCCTCGTTTTAAAAAGAGAATAAAAAAGAAAGCCGACAAATAAATGTGGCAGTTAATTTATGTATTTTCACAAACGGAACGATTCAAATCGAGCCAAATTAACAAAGAAAATTTAAAACAGAAAAATAAGAGAAAAAAGCGAGATTAGTAGAAAAGAAGGAGAAAGGTGAAATAGAATAAATAAGTAATCAAATGGAAACATTTTCAAGCGCATTAAAACATAGTTTATAGCTATCTATATATACATATAGACTTAATACACTTAAACACGAAAAGACCGATTATTGTTTTAATTGCTAACTGGCTTTGCCTACAAATAATTCAAATCAAGCTGTTGCAACTTGTTTGTCAAAATGTATTCGAAGACCAAAATTCAAACAACTTTTTGCAGCATAAATTTATATATAGGTATAAATATGTAAAAGACAAATTTATTCAGTCCAAAAAAATATAACAGAAAATGAGAATATTAAATTTGGACACAGTCAGCTATATATATATATATGTATATGTATATGGATATATATATATATATATATATATATATCTTCACCTCAAAAGGCAAGTTCACGTTACATACACACACATACTTCTCGTACAGCTATAAAAAAATTTGCCTTGTACGATGACAGTTTTGACTGATAAAAACAAAAAAAAAATTATAAATCGAATATATATATATATATATATATATGTATTAGTGTACGTGTTTATATAGAACTCGTGTAGGAAATTAGCCAATAAGTTAAAAAGAGAGAGCATTAACTCTCCCTCACACACACACACACACACATATATACAGCCGGAACAAGTAAATGTTAAATGTGGAACCTATGTATGTAATAATGTTAATTAACATTTGACATTTAACATTTGCATTCAACCTGTACACTTAAAATTTACATTTAACATTTAGCATTTAAAGTTTACAAAAGTTTATACATATATATATATATATATATATATATATATATATATATATATATATATATATATATATATATATTCGTCTTAAGTATTTCGAATATGGGAAAGGTGAAATTCAAAGAACTCAACTGTAAGTTTTATGTTCTGATGCTTTTTTGTTTTTGTTTACATAGTTTTTTAGTTTACACTTTTTTTGTAATTTTACTTTTGTAAATGAACCAAGCAGTATATATATCTCAAATATATATATCTATATATTTAGTAGAAGTACCATGAGAAATTATCCTAAAAAAACGAACACGAAAATAGGAAAACAAAAACACAAGAAAAACAAATTTTAGGTGAAACGTTATAATGATTGTATATTTAATAATAATATTAATAATAAGAATAATAATACAAATTTAATGTGTATATCATGTATTGATGTAGCAGCATTTGCTCCATTCATAATACATCATCATACATCATACATCATTGTAAACTGAACAAATATTTGCATACGACATTTATAAATATAAAAAATACAAAATACAATTCACAAAAATTTGCACACTTAAAAAATGTCTAATTTTCAGTCCCATTAACTACATAATTAATAACAGTCATTTTTTGAGTTTAACAGTAATTTTCCAATGTACTTTAAACAGTTAAAAAACAATATACACACACACACACACATAGACACACACACTCATCATGGTGTTAGTTTAGTTATACAGGGTAACTCAGTTGCTAATTTTAAACTGCCCGCCTTAAAAAGAATTTATTACCAAAACTCCCAATGCTAATTAATGTGTGCAGAAGAGATGGCAAATGCACTGCTTGCCTGACACATAGTTGGCAGACATATGTCGGGCAGCAATTTCCATATTTCAATATTCCATAAAAATGATTAATGAAATTTCTTAGAGATGGCAAATGTCTTGCTCTGCTTACTCTTGCTGTCGGGCAACAATTCAACGCTTCCATAACTACCAGCCTGCGACCAGTTTTTCTAGCTACACCATGGGCCACATTTTCGTGTTCAGCTTAAAACTATTTATGACTTTTAACGCCTGGCACTTTATCAAATCCAAAAAAAAACAAAAATAAGAAATAAAATAACAATTAACTTATAAACTAAACCGAATTTATAACAATGCGACAAACCGTAGAAATATCGGAAATAGAACCCGAAATAATAGCAGAAAATACACCCGCAATAATTTAACGTAACGCAAAGCTTAAGAACTCTATCTGTCTCTCACCCACTCACTCACTATCACTCTCACTCATATAGTTGCAATTGGAAGTTTTTCACATACACACACACAGGCAAACACACACTTTCACGCATTTCACACATACACAGATTGAGATGACTAGGATTATGCTTACAATAAAATACAATAAATACAAATACAATAAATACAAATACAATAAAATACAAATACAAATACATATACAAATACAGATACAGATACAAATACAGATACAGATACAGATACAGATACAGATACAGATACAGATACAGATACAGATACAGATACAGATACAGATACAGATACAGATACAGATACAGATACAGATACAGATACAGATACAGATACAGATACAGATACAGATACAGATACAGATACAGATACAGATACAGATACAGATACAGATACAGATACAGATACAGATACAGATACAGATACAGATACAGATACAGATACAGATACAGATACAGATACAGATACAGATACAGATACAGATACAGATACAGATACAGATACAGATACAGATACAGATACAGATACAGATACAGATACATATACAGATACATATACATATACATATACATATACAGATACAGATACAGATACAGATACAGATACAGATACAGATACAGATACAGATACAGATACAGATACAGATACAGATACAGATACAAATACAAATACAAATACAAATACAAATACAAATACAAATACATATACAAATACATATACAAATACAAATACAAATACAAATACAAATACAATTACAATTACAAATACATATACAAATACAAATACAAATACAAATACAAATACATAGAAACAATCATATACATACATACATATATACTCCCAAGCTCTTATCTTAAATAGTTCTTAATAAAACAATAACAACCGCAATCAAAAAGCAGTTCAGCTGGCTTGACGTATATGTCTGTCATGCATGTCTCTCACACATATGCATTTCCGTCATACAAGTCTGTCACACCTCACGCCTCAACAACTCTTTGTTTATTATTAGTTTGGAGATCAATTTCATTTTAGTCCGCAGATTTCGCAAAAAAGTCTCATACATGCCACAACCACATACGTCCGTCGTACACTTCTGTCATACATGTCTGTCATGCCATAACAACTATTTGTAATTAATTTAATTTTAATTTCACTTAAGAAAATTTGATTTAATCTAAACATGTAGAAAAAAAGAAATAAACAGATTCCATTGGAATACTTTCCAGCCATTACCATGTATTTTACGATCACTTTTTGTAATGCCATGCAGAGCGTATACATACATACATACACATATAACAATACAGGTGCGAAAAAATAATAGAACCACTTTCAAAAAAGTTTCTTTTAAATTAATGAATTGAAAGAAAAAAATCATCATTTTATTCAACGTATTCAACTGATTTGAATTGAATTAAAATTCAATACAAATACAATTTTAGGAAAGGGGCAGAAAATGAACGAAGAAAATAATAGCCGCATTTTGCAAATTTTGCAAATAAAGAAACAATTTCTATAAAGTTATTTTTTATCCTACTTCTTGGCGCTTTTCACTTTAAATTAAAAAAATATGTTGAAAAGAATTTATAGCGCAATACTTATCAATATATTGAACATCGATATTTGTAAAAATTGCAAAACTATTTTTATTTGTTTTTTTCCTGCATTTGGAAGTAAAAATTTTGTCGGAACTGTACACAAACATGCGCACATTCCAGTTGCGCGTCTTCTCGTTTCTGTTTAGCAATTTTTGTATGTACAGAAAATTTATTTACTACTTCCCCTCCCCCCTCCCAAAACAACACCATCATTCATAACTCCTGTCGTATAATTAAAAAAGAACCGCCGATAAGTCACACATACACACACACAATAACTGTAACTGTAACTGCTCCCCATGCATGCATGTAGTAGTGTGTAATAATTATACGTGATGCATAAATACAATACACCAACAAATAGAGACACACAGTCACAGCCACACTAAAAATAATAAATGTGTAATACATATACATGCATATATATGTACATAAGTATATGTTTCTCATTAATGAATTAATGCCATACAAAAAAAAATGGTATAAAAAGGTATTACAAAAACGAATAAGAAAGGTATAAAAAGGCGTAAAAAAAAGAAAATGGAAAGAAGAAGGGGATCTAGGAGGAGGACTAAATTGTAGTTTTTAACTGTAGCACATCAAATTTATATCTATAAATTTTACCACTTAAGGGGAAAATTAAGCAAAAGCAAAATGCATTCAAAACGAAACAAAACAAAATGAAAATGAAACTGCATATGTATATGTATGATAAAAAAATAAGACAAAAGCGAAAACGAAAGCAAGAGTGGTGAAATGAACAATGTATCAATGCAAATAAAAACAAATTTGAATTTACAAAAGGTATGCGTTTGTCATTTGTCTATAAATTAATTTTTTAAGTGACAAAAGTGGCAGATACTTCCAGTTGCTTCCAGCAATTCCACAGCTGTTCCCAAAAAATATATATGCAACAGGTAAAAGTGGAAGAAGAAGCAATCCCGACCAATCAGAGTTGGGCTTCCATCAAACGAATTCGCGACGATCCAACTTGCATAATGTTGAACATTATCGCTTATGCATTCTTAATTTGATAATTGATTTTTCTGAAGTTTAAAAAAAAAATGTTTAATTTTTGGAATGTTACAGCAACTTTAATATCATTTTACATTAATACCCTCAGATATTTTATATTTTATTTTATTTATTTAACTTTAAATTCTTAACTATTATTTTAATTTAATTATTTGAAATTTATTTATGAAATTTAAAAATAAATTGTTCTAATTCGTAATAAATTAATTAAAATATAATATATTTAATATTATAATTAAATAAAAAGTTAGGATATATTTAAACAGTTGAAACATTCAATTAAATATAAATTCAAGTAAATTAAAATGTAAAATAATTAACAATTCTGTTAATACATTTTTATTATCTATTTTTTTATTTCAAAATATAACAGCAAAACATTCAAAATTTACAGCGTGAACTGGTTCCACTCGCGAGTCCTAAAATTTACACAATGTTGGCAACCCTAAGAAATACAAAAAAGAGGGCAGATGTCAACTCTCATTTTGGGGGCTCAGCATCCAGCCAGAGAAACAGGCAGAAAGACAGAAGGACTGAGAGACGTACAGAAAGTAAGAGCAACCCTCAGTAAGTTTTCAGGAGTGTCAACTTTAACCCATTGTGCTCACAGTCAAATATAACCAAAGTAAGTAAAAATAACAGAGCACTAATAAATAATAATAAAAGTAACACTCTAATATATATATATATATAAATATACATATGTATATTTTATGTTAGAGAGTCAATAATATTAAGTTTATTGATAAGGGCACAGTCTCTCGCAACCAACAGGAAAAGCGAGGAAAAACGCAGGAAAAGTGCATTCGTTTGTGTAGCTGGGTGAATCTGGGTGTGAATCGGGCAAGGTCACGTGTATTAAATCTCACGTCAACGCCATCAATTTGCTCAAGGTCTGCATTTCTTTGCTTCATTTATTTCCGCTCATCAATAATAAATTTCGACATTTTCAAGTTGTAAAAAAATAGCAATATTTTTTTTATATTCAGCTATAAATTATGCAGCAGAGCAAAATTATACGAGACATTTTAGAGATCTTTATTGTCTGCACCACACAATTACTATTTGTTTATCACAGTTTATTAAATAATAAATATTATATATAATTTAATTTATATTTTGCATAATTCTGTGTCGACAGATATTGGTTTACATTAAATAAATATGAAATTATATTATTAGTTTAATTTAGTTTTAAATATCGACATTAAATAAATATATAATTAAAAAATATTGTATATTTAATTGAATTGTTAACTCATATTAGTCAAAATTAAATAAATAATAAATTTGACAATTTATTTGTAATTTGATGTAATATTAAATATAGACATTAAATATTTACATTATTAATAAATATTAAATTGTACGTTTGTAATTTTATTTGTAATTATTGTTTATTGTTGTTAAGCCGTCATTAAATAAATACATAAATAATAAATATTATACATAATTTAATTTGTTTCTTCTTAATTCTTATTTTTCTATGCCGACTGTTATGAGTTATTAATCTTAACAATCATAAAATAAATTTATGTTAACTTGTGTTTATAATTTGTAGTATTTTTCTGTGTTGACTGATATCAGTGGAGATGAAATAAATATTAAATATGAAATTTAATTTTTAATTTAATTATTTATTTTTATTTCCACAGCCAGACCAAATAAGAAGCAGTCATGTCATGGGAGAGCATCGCCTCAAAGGACCTGCTTAGGTTGGTTTAAGGAGCAGAACAGTTTTTATTATTATTATTGTTAATATTTACAGCATAAGGCCATGTCAGAATTTATCAGTCACACATTTGTTGGCATCGCCGGACGGATCGCGATATTTGCTGGATAATTCAAATGGTTTGTTTTAGCCAAAGTCAACTGAATACAGAAAATATATAATATTTTATATCATGTATAGATATGTGCCAGGTGGACGAGAATTACTCGAGAATTGCTGGGTATGGTTCGAGCCCGGATGGCGATGTTGGATCCCATTCGTTGTGGGTACGCCGTGGTCTCGCCCGTTCCGGCCAATTTAATACCGTAATCAGTTGCTTCTGGGCATGTCAACGTAGCCTGCGTCAGTATATTGCTAAAAAAAAGGTAGGAACTATATTATATATAAATATAAAATTACAACAATTAAAATGATTGATAAAAGTACCAACTATTAATATACATAATATATTAATAAATGTCGGACACTGATTGATCACATCGATATGTATTTTATTTTATAAACTTTAAAATTTTTCAGTTTTCAGTTCTGCTCTCGTTATTCGATTGCTAGATCAACTTTTATTGCTCTTAATAATAATACCTATTTTATATAATAATAATACCCAGGCAGGTTCTATAACTTTATTAATATGAATGATCAGCCTGAACAGTTGATCTGTTTAGTAATTTTATTGTATTAATCTTCCTAATACTTTACAAACTTTTCCTCCGTTTATTTAAAGGTTTAATTATATATTTGGAGCTCTGACGACCTTCATTCAATTCAAGCCCCTAGAAATCTTATAAAGATTTCTTATTTTTTAATTTATATATATTTAATTTTAAATTAAATATATTTTAATTTTTTACTTCTTTTTTTGTGTCGATTGACTTTAGTTAACATTAAAAAAATAAATAAATAAATCTCTCGTAGTACCTAGCCGACCTAGCTGTCCTTTGACCTCTATCAATAACCCATTCCAGATTGAGCGAGGATTAAGACTGTACGAGCAGCACAATCAAACTGCCGCCGTGCGAACCTGGCGCAGTGCTTTGAAGGGCACCTGTCGCCGGGAGGATTGTTTCCAGCTGTTGGGTTACTTGTATCAGGCTCACATGGACTGGGGGAAGTATCGGGATGCGATCGACTTTGGGCACCAGCAGTTAGGCATATCGGAGGAGCTCGACTCGCCCAATATGCGTGCGGAAACCTATTTGAATCTGAGCCGAGCTCATGCGAGTCTGGGTGGATTGGAGCGGGCCTTGGCCTATGCCCGGCATTCGCTGTACAACGAGTCGGGCACAAAGTGCCGGAGTGGATTGGTCCACTTGACGGTGGCCCGTGTATATCTGGAGATGGGCGGATTCTCGAGGGCGTTGGAGGGTTTACAGGGTGCTCATAAAATAGCCACGGCAATTGGAGATCCTTCGCTGGAATTGCAGGTTTATGTGGCACTCTCGGAGCTCTTTGGTCGGTTACAGGACAATGACAAAAGTGCCACGTATGCCTCGAAGGCCTATGATTTGTCCAGATCTCTGCAGCTCGGCGATCTCAACTCCTCTCATCACAGGGCGGCCTTGCTCCGCATGGCGGCCTCGTTACGCAAACAGGGCGATCTCGGTGATGCCCACGACTATTGCATGGTAGGTCATGTCTACTCATTCGCTCTCTCTGTCTCTATTCTTCACAGCCCTTTCTCTCACTCTCTAGGAAGCGACTAGACTATCACTGATCTCCGGAGATCAGGCCACTTACACAAGGAGCATTCGCGTCATGGGCGATATTTATCGCAAGAAAATGGATATTGATGTAAGTAGAAATTGTAAAAATATCCCACTAGTAATTAATTAATAATTATTTGATTAATAATTAAGTTTAAAAATTATTAGGAAACTTTAGTTTCCCAATTTCTAAATAGTTAGTAATAGTATTATTGATGTAAGTAGATATTTAAAAATGTATTTAGTATTATTGATGTAAGTAGATATTTAAAAATGTATTTAGTATTAATTATGTAAGTAGATATTTAAAAATGTCCCACTAATAACTAATTAATAATTACTTGATTTTTAGTAGAATATTGAATATATGAAATTAGAATTGGTATTATTGATGCAAGTAGAAGTTAAAACTAATTAACAGTGACTTTATTATGAAAATAGTTTTCGTATTATTGTTATAAGCAGAAATACAGAAAATATCAAAATAATATCTAATTTATTTATTTAATTACTTCATCTTTTTTTGTTGGTCTGATGCGTTTTTTCTTTTTTCATCTAAACAACTCCAGATTTATTTAATATTATGTTATTACATTTTTTGTTCTCATTTTAAATTTATTATTATATCATTTAATTTTGATTTTAGTATATTATTTACAAAAATTTGTAATTTGAATTTAAATTTATATCTTTAAAACCATTTTTTAAAAATATTTAACTTTTTTAGTAAACTTTAAATAAATAAAGTAAAGGTATATACAATTTAAATAGCCCCAGAAATTGTATAAATATTTATATATTTTTTCAATTATTTTGAATATTAAATTTTATTTTTAATATAATTTAATTTATTTTGTAAAGAAATTTTCTGGGTATACTGATATTAGTAGAAATTTGATAGATAAATAATATAAATACGTAATTAAATAATATAAATATCCTCAGAAATCTAGGAAATATTTATTATTTATTAATTTAAAATTTTATTTTTAATTTAATTTAATTTCTACTTTTTGCATTGTTTATGTGTCGACTGATATGATTATAAATTCTTCACTTAATTTTATAATTTTTTAATATTTGAATAGTAGTCTACACTAAATTAATTAACTCCATTAGTTAATTAAAACCTCATTTCTATTTGTAGAGAGCATTTCGCCAGTACGAGCAGGCGATGGGAACTTCAGCCACTTTGGGGGATCGCATGGCCCAAATGGAGGCGATGGATGGAGCAGCCCGATGTTTGGAGACACTGCGACTTCAGAGTAAGATCTGCAATTGCAGACCCTTGGAGTTCAATACGAGACTCTTGGAGGTGGCCAGCTCGATTGGAGCGAAGGTGCTGTATGCTATATATTCTCTACAAAAGTCAGAAATGTTTTATAGTTTTTGAATTATGTATATAAGCTGTTGGTAAGAAAAATAAGAAGTCGCCTGGCACTCATTTATCGAGCTTTGGGTGATGAGGATCAGTGCAACACTCACCTTCGATTGGCAGATCAAACGAATGCGGCCCTGGGCCTCAATTGTGGGGCATGTGGCGAGGTCTTTGGGCTACAACCAGCCAACCTTGAGGCACTACCATGTGCCCACATACTCCATGCCAGGTAATTCGACCCTCAAAGAAAGCCAATCACAGTTGCAGAATTGATAGATAGACAAATAATAAAAATCATTATACACTCATAAAGAAAATCAATCTGAAACCGTGAAAACTATACAAATTTTCTTGCTTTTAGAAATATTTTTAAAAATACGAAAACATTTTACATAAAACTATAAATCGACAATCCCAAAAATATTTGTTATATTTTTCTATTCTTCTTAGAAATATTTTCTCTTATTTTTCTATTCTATTCTTAAAAGAAGACATATAGAACGCTGATTCTTACAAAACCCTCTATTAAATTCTTAATACAAATGATGCTAAATATATAACCCACTTCATTTTTAGAAATCAGATTTAATTAAAATAATTGTCTTATCCCAACTCGACAATCACAAAAATATGCTGATGTTTTTTATTGTTTGGAAATATTTTCTATTATTAAGAAATGCATTTAGAAATAAATATAAAAATAAGTGTACAAATATAAAATATAAGGATATCATAATATAAAAATATGAGAAGGTTAATAATAATAATATATATTAAGGTTTGCATTGGGAATTTAAAAAATTCAGTGAGATTTTTTTTAAGCAACTGATGCTAGATTTTTGAAATTCCAGAGGTGTTTTATAATGTACACAGAATTCTAGCATTCGATTTTTTGTTATTGGTATTTTAAAAATATTTCAGATAGTTTAAAAATGCATATAATTTAATTTTACTGGGATTTCAAGTGCTTTTCATTTCATTACTTCTTTCTGAATTTTAAAACACATTTTTTCATTTTGGTCAATAAGACTAGAATATTTTTAATAGATGTTTTTGATATTTGTTTTGTCTATCTTTTTTCAGATGTGCTCACGAGATCTTCCGGCGTCGTGATAAAAACATTGCCTCACGCTCTTGCCCCGCTTGCAACAAACTGTTGAGCTCCCGCCTGCATCTGTGTGGCAACGAAAGCAGCGTGGCCTCAAACGAGAATGAAAATGATAATTTCGACGATGGAGAAAGTATGACGACAATGACACTAAATGCCAATGGATTGGCCATGGATGGATTTATATCGCTGAACTCGGAGACTCTCTTGCCACTGCCAGCTCCTTTGGCCGCGCCATCGGCGAATGGTTCCGGCGTCTTCTGCAGCAACAGCCTCAAGGATAAGTCCATGCCGAGTATCGACAGCACAGCTCTCCTCCTGACTGCAAACGCCTCTCCGAAGACAGTTTATCGTAGCAACTTATCCCTCGCCTCGCTCAGCATGCGTGCCTCCAGTTTGACCATCGACAGTAGCAGGAATGCCACATCCTCTGTTTAGATCGGGACATAAGCCCAAGACACATCTAGCTAAGGTCCTCAAATATATATTAAATAGGCATTTATATATTCTTGATATATAGTAGTCAACAAATTAATAGCACCGCTCTTAAGAATGAGAAAACCAAGCATTAGTTTTGAAACTTTTCCAAATTTGTATTTATAATATTTAATATTATTTTAATTGATTTTAATATTTATTTCTATCACATCCACCTATAAATTAAAGTTAGGACGGCTTCTGTTATTCTTTTCAATATATATCTTCTTTAGTTTAAAGGCAAAGTAGCGAAAAGATTGTAGATGGCGTTTATTTATTTTTAATTTTAATTTTTTATTTTAATTAAATTTAAATTGGTTGATCTTTTGAGTTCCTTAATTTCCTTAAATTTACAAATTTAAAAAAGACTACCTGGACAACATTTTTTGTGACAGTGCTGCTATTATTTTGTTCGCAGTTGTATATACACTTAGGAAAAAAATTGCCCTGAATTTAATAAATTTGCCAAGTATTCCTCACCTTATTATTCAGCAAGTAAATTTCAAAAATTGGAGGCTGATTCTTTTTCTGAGAGTTTTCGGTATTTACATTTTATTTATATAGTTTTACCAAAACAGTTTTATATATTTTTTTATTGATCTTTATTTTCTTGAAATTTATTTGAGCTAATGGCACGATAATTTGTTAAGGTTTTTAAGCATACTTAACTTTTTAGAAGAACAATGCTTACTATCAAGAATAAATATAAATGAAGAAATTGCTACGACCTGTTCCATTTATAAGAATTATATGAATGATACTATTTAAAATGTAACACAAAGTTTACGAACTCTAAAAATGCAAGACAAATCGCTTAGACTTCGTACATCGAACAATCAAAGAAAATTAAATTGTCCAATAGTTTTAATTTGAATTTTTCAACTTTTTCTTGCAATACTTCTCCGAAATGTGGCATTTTTTAACTCCCAAAAACTATCCTGATTTTATGAATATCACGGAAAATCGATCAAATGCTTCTATTGTTATTTAAAACCAGTGTTAACAAGTTCTAATTGGTCTATTGATAATAATATAATAATAATATATTATTTTGCAGATCTTAATGAATATTATAGCTAAATGATTTGCCGTTTCAATAAAAATAATTAAGAAAAATGCTCTTTGAACGAATTAAGATTGGTTTTGATTGCACATTTGAATCGCAACAATCAGATAAAAAAAAAGATGGGAAGATAGGAAATATCTTAAATGCCCTTGTAGAGCGGAGTTAAAATTTCAAAAATGTGCAGAATTTCGGGAATTTTTTTTTTATTATTTATTTAAATTCAAAAAAAAAAAAATTGTTTTCTGACAAAAAAAACTGTGTAGTTTATTGCTTAAGAAAGGCAGATGTTTTTATCAAAGCCTAACTCGATTCCACAACTTAAAACTCATCTATCGAACGATTGTTCCTATGGCAGCCATATTATATTGTACTCCGCAGAAGAATATTATTCATTTTTGCCTAATTTTCGAGCTTGACATATGCAGATGTCTGTAACAATATATATATTAATTTGATTAAATTTGATTAGGATTGCTTTAAAAATTAACTACTATTTCTGATCAAAAGCATATATACTAAATCAGCAAGTAAGAATTTGTTGTATTTGTTATGAATATAATGTTAGCTCATTTAATTTGTATTTTTTTGACAACATTGAAATACGCTCTATAAGGGTAAATTAAATATTAAGAATGAATATGCGAATTGTGATGATATTGATTCAATAGATAAATATATCTAAATTTTTAAATATAAAAATATATATTAAAATAGTTTATTATTTGCCAAGTTCGATGTAAATTCTTATCTTAAAACGTTGCTATAATGATTAAGAAACACCCGTTTTGAAAACACAAATGTGCTTGAATAACCGTTAAAGCGCCACAGATGTGCTAAAATAACCGTTATAGACATCACATTAAAAACGATGGAAATCGCGCTTCAAGTTTCGCTCTTCAGGTAGTCGCAGCCCAGCTGGATCGTATACAGTGTCTACAAATATAGTACCTAAAAAAAATAAGACAAATAAGTTGTTCAAGTTTTTAAATACACAAAAATAGGTCCAACATAATACTAGTGAAAAATACAAAAAAATATAAATACAAATACGATAAATACTCTATGGAAAATATGTCAGTTAAAAATAAATATATATAAAAAATAAATACAAAGCACAAATTTTAAAATTATTGTTGGCAGATACTTGGCTAAAACATATATAAATAGATATATAAATATATATGTCCTATAATACTCAGCACACCAAAAATTGTGTATATTAAAATTCATTTCTCTGAAGCACACGCTTAAACACAACATAAGCACAACTAATATTTAAAATAATTACGAATGTTCTTAGTTTATGATTAACTCTAAGTCGAAGTCAATCACTGATCAAATCAATTGTAATTTGCTGTAAAATAGTTGTTAGTAAATGCCGTTGAGTAATCTGAATGAATATCTGTTCACAATTGGGTATCAGAGGTATAAATTTCAATACAGAACCAAACAAAACACATTTCTTTCAACCAATATTCGAAGAAAAATCGTTTAAAATCTATTATCCTATATTTTACAATTTTGATAAAATTTGTATATATAGATATTTTATTTAAGTTTGGATAAAAATCGATTAACGATGTTTTTAATTTTTAGATGAGCTTTTTATTTTGCGATCTGATTGGCTGAAAGCTTAGCTGGCACTGCGCGCTAAATTCAAGAAGTCGCTGAAAGTATGCAACATTTTGTGGCACACCTATTTTCCTGTGCAGAAATTTGAGAAGAGGAAGAGAAGAAGAGAAATAAAACAAAATAATATTTAAAATACAAATTTTTAATTTAAATTAAAGTTACAAATTAAATGATATAAAAAAAAATAAAATAAAAAAATAAATGGAAAAAGCGAATAATTAAATTAATATTTAAAAATCAATTTATACAATAATGTACTATATAATAATATAAATAAATAAATAGAAATGAAATTTAATAAATTTGGGGAGTATGCCAATGATCCAGAAAAAAATCCAATGCAAACAAAAAATTGTTAAAATGACAGAGAGAAGTGCAGTTTATAAAGAGTAAGAGAAAACCACACAAAAAATATGGAAAAATCTTTGAAAGTGTGGAATAAATCGTTATAAATATAACTCTTATATTTGAGCTTCCAAGTTTTACATAAAACGCTTTCATCTATAGATATATGCTTTATACTATATATAACTATGCTGTTTATACTTTGATATCGAAGCCGATATGTGGAAGGTAACTTGCTGGTAAGCTCCTTCAAGGATCTGCTTATTTTCAAACCACATCCACTCTCACCGCCTCCAGGAACTTCGGCCCTAGAAATCTGAAACTCGCACATCTTCCACTTCACCAAAGCTAGAATCACAAAATTTAAAAGGTATATTGTTAGCAGAACCCTTCAAATATCTGGAAAATGTTTGACCACGGTCACTCCCGCCGCCAAAAACGATAAATCTTCCGCAATTTAAGAGCTTTAGCTAGCTATGTAGTCTAGTTACTATGAAACTCTTCCAAAATTTATTTTCGGTCACGCCCAATCTCCTTAAAATATTGGTATATCTTGGCTATATCGGCTATATTCTTGGCTATGTCGTTAGAAAACTGACCTACAAATGGCACGATATTGATGGCAAGTAGATTTTCCGCATGAATTCTAAAAATATGCGTTAAAAAAGTTGAATAGTTACAAAACTGATCGAAAATGAACTCACGGGAAGGATATATAATCTAATATATTTCAAATTTACAACAAATTTTAAAAGGCGTATCATTGTCTCGACATGCGAAATTTTTTATTAGAACAGCCGTCTGCTCACTGTGGCATGATCGCGTTGAAAGCTATCTTTCTATGACAGTCCAGAAGCAAAGAATTTTGTATGTCGAGCCAATGATAGCAGATACATTTGCGGGCTGTGGTTACAAAATAGGTCATTTGTTAAACGACCCCACTCTACAAAAGGTTACACATCAGGCCCAAAAACTAAAAAATGGCTTGCACAAGGATATAGTGTTGCTGCTATCTTTGCACACATTCAAGGATCTGCGCGATCCACATTCATAACCCATTGGGGCCAACTAGAAGAGGTGGGTACCTGTTCGTACACATGCACGCATGTTCATAAAGGACTTGGTTTTTCATTTACTCGCGATGTTGTCGCAGCTAAGTCAAGTGAAATAATGACCTATGTTTGCTGCTGGACACGCTGACATCTGCAAAATTTTCGAGGCGTTGTAATCTGGGCTTAATGGCGTCCAGAGGCTCAGAAAAAACCTGATGCACATCCTGTTCTGTGCCACCTTTATTAGCTGGCATTAATTATGCTATCAGAGTATTTCGCAGTCGGTTAAGTCTTTTTTTGACTCCGTTGTAGAATTCGGAATGAGACATGCGCATTGGGCCTTTGGGGGCATTTACGAGCCTTTGGTCGAACCCAAAAATTTTTCTGACCAACAAATTTAATCTAACCATCTCAACACACACACACATACATTTGCATACTGACAGCAACTCTGGGTTTTTGGCTGTTGTGCTTCTTCTTCGGTTCACATGAGCACATGAAATGAGCAAGCAAAAGGAGATAGTGAACGCAAAGCGTGAGTTGCAAAACGCATAAAAAATTGAGATAGAAGAGCGCATGCTCTCTTTCCGCCTTCTCTCCTCTCTTCTGAGAGAGGGTTGCCTTTGGCGTTGCCACATAAATGAAAAATTATTATGCTAAATAATAATTAAAAATGAGCGATTTTATTTATATTAGCTATAAATATATATATATATATATATAAATATAATAAATAATAAATAAAAATGCTCGTTGTTTTATAGATAAACTATAAATCATATTGGTCTGATCGTTTTTATATATTTATTTTAATTTGTATTTATTTATTTACTCTGTCGACGCAAAAAATACAAGTAAAAAATGTAATTACATTAAATTTAAAAATTATATATATAAATTATAAAATAAGAAGTATTTATTTATTTTTGTTATATTTTTTAAATACTCCAAGATATCGTAAAAATCTTATAATAATATATAATTTTTTAATTTATTTGCAATATTAAATTTTATTTTGTATTGAAACGCAACTCTGCATAGCTTTTATAACTTCGAAATTTAAGTTTAATATTAAATTTTATTTCTAGATAAGTTCAAGCTATTTTTAGTTTTTGTATTTTCGATATTGTGTGGCAACACTGAACTAACTGCTGCGTAAAACAGTGTGGTAACTCTAAATATTGCAAATGGGGTGGTTGGGTTGCTGCGAGCAGCGGATGGAGGTGGGGCTGGGGGAGGGTTAACGGTCGTTTTGCTCGCTCATCAGGGTTAAAGAGATGTGCGTGTGCTCGTATTTTGTGCTCGTGTTTGGCTTCGGCTGCTCACAGTTTCAGTTCAAAATTGGGTATATTCTGCGTTTGGGCCGAAACTTTTGCGGAAAGCGGGCGCTCGTCGGTCCCTCGTCGTCGTCGCTCACATAATAATAAAGTTTTTACACATACACACACATACGTATATTTGTGTGTGATTGAAATATAACTAACAGTTTTAAGCATAAAAAAGGTGCATAAAGTAAACAATTCCATTAAAAATTTGGCCAAAAGTGCATTAAAAAAAGAATGGCAGTCAACCATTTTATTTTGTTGTATAAGTGCACTTAAACCACAACAACAAATAAAGTAATTTATAATAATAACAATAATAATATATATATAATAATCAAATATAAGCAAAAATGTAGCCAAAGTGCATTCAAATTTCTTAAAGGTAATAATAATTTCTACGTTTTTTTTGGCGAATATTGTGAAAAATATTTAGAATGTGGAAAAACTACCCCAAGAACCCCATTTTTACACACACCAAGACACACACATAGACAAGTGCACAATTGAAATGTTGATCGACTGGCAGTTACCCTGCACACTAAACACTGAGCTAAAATATCGATCGAGATGTGTTATCGAATCTTATCGATAAATATGACTGGCAATTTGTGTTAAATAAATATGTATATGTATATTTATTGTGCAGGGTACAAAAACATAAACATGCACACTGACATACATACATGACATGGCATACACACACCAACATACACACATATATATATATATATACTTGCTTTTTTTTTATGTGTAAAACAACCCTTAAGGCCTGACGACGATGGCAACAGCTAACGACGAAAACAAAACGAACAAACTAAACTCTGCCAAGTCAAGTGACAACAAATAAGACACAAATACACACTCACACATCCTATATATCATACAGATATACCTATATGTATATGTATATGTATATGTATATGTATATGTATATGTATATGTATATGTATATGTATATGTATATGTATATGTATACGTATATGTATATGTATATGTATATGTATATGTATATGTATATGTATATGTATATGTATATGTATATGTATATGTATATGTATATGTATATGTATATGTATATGTATATGTATATGTATATGTATATGTATATGTATATGTATATGTATATGTATATGTATATGTATATGTATATGTATATGTATATGTATATGTATATGTATATGTATATGTATATGTATATGTATATGTATATGTATATGTATATGTATATGTATATGTATATGTATATGTATATGTATATGTATATGTATATGTATATGTATATGTATATGTATATGTATATGTATATGTATATGTATATGTATATGTATATGTATATGTATATGTATATGTATATGTATATGTATATGTATATGTATATGTATATGTATATGTATATGTATATGTATATGTATATATATATATATGTATATATGTTTTTCAATACATACTCGCACCCACTGAATATGAATATAATTTGTGTCAAAACACATGCATTCATACATATAAATAGCGAATACAACTCGACGACTTCTTCACATTGAATTCATTTTTTATTTCATCGTTATTCTTTACTCTATGCCTAATACAAGTGTTATTCAAAATCTATACCAATTGAAAGTGAATACTAAATTATAATGTTACTGGTTCGTAATATGACTTATTAAGGAATTGTTCGATGAATGAACTAATCATTTTATCATGACCAAATAAATAAAAATGATTATTACAAATTAAAAGTACATTCATACAAAATACATATGCAACTCCATAGTTCTAATAATTAGTTATTTACAATATCATTCATTCATTTATTCAGATAACGAATGAGTAAGAATATAAAGAAGAGAAGTTTACCCATTGGATTGTAGGATTGAATTTTTCCTTAAGAGGATCTCTCATATATGATATATTAAATAAATGATATCATTGCTAGATAGACAGTAGAGTAGATTTGATATAGATTTAGGTATAGGATATCATGAAGTAAATATATACATTTTTGTAAAAAGTAGTAAAAATTATTCATTTAATGTCAACCAAAGCCAATCAATAAAATTTAAAACTAAGAAAGAAATACTTTTAAGATTTCTGGGGGATATAGATAATAAGTATATCAATATCAATATCAATATCAATATCAATATCAATATCAATATCAATATCAATATCAATATCAATATCAATATCAATATCAATATCAATATCAATATCAATATCAATATCAATATCAATATCAATATCAATATCAATATCTATATCTATATCTATATCTATATCTATATCTATATCTATATCTATATCTATATCTATATCTATATCTATATCTATATCTATATCTAAATCTAAATCTATATCTATATTTATATCTATATCTATATCCACATCTATTGCTGATCTGATATATTCTCTCTCTCTTTCCTTTTCTAATTGCAGTTAATCGTTCAGCTGACTTAGTTTTTTAAACTTTGATTATATATTTATATATATATATATATATATATATATATATATATATATATATATATATATATATATATATATATATATATATATATATATATATATTTATATATATATATATATATATTTGTGCGATTCAAGCTGTAAACTGATGTGGCATGGAATCGATGAATGAGATTATTGATGCACAAACTTTCGGCCACCAGCTGGTTGTGGAAACAAGCGATTTCATTGGGCAACCCGGCAATCCTGAGAGCGAATCCGAATGCGAGCCGAGGGAAGTGCACGAGACGGGCATTAAATACTTGAAAGCGTCTGCGATGCAAACACTTATTGGGAACACAAATCGCAGTCATCGCAGCAATCGATTAATCGAAGATGATGAGGAGCAGGAGGAGCTGGAAGAGGAGGAGGAAGAGCAGGAGGAGCTGGAAGAGGAGGAGCATGAGCTGGAGGAGGAGGAGCAAGAGTCTCGATCTGTGGTGATGGTCATCGATGAACTGGGTCACAGCAATTATCAATTGATGCCACAACAGTCAGGGAGCAGAACAATACCAACAATGTCCTCGCTGCTACCCTCCATGCATCAGCGCAACAGTCCCGTCGATTTTGTCGGTTCCGAGCTGAGTTTGGATGGCTTGACCAATACTCAGATCATAGCCGTCAAACAAGAGCACAAATTGGTCATTGTTGAGCGTGGAAATAATCGCAATTTGAATGTCATTGATGAGTTGTCCGAGGATGGAGGGGGCATCGCCAGGGGTGCAGGGGTGGGCGTTGAGGAGGTCACTCTGAATCAGCATCATCAGCAGCTGCTGCAGGAACAGTCTGAACATCAACATCATCATCATCATAATCATCATCATAATCATCATCATCAGCAACAGCAGCAGCAGCAGCATGCGCAACATCACCAGCAGTATGAAACGGAATTACATCATCATCATCAGAGCCACACTCATCATAATTCAAGCACTACCGCTACGCACTCGCGTCGCTTGCAGCTGCTTAGTCAACGCGAGGAATTGTCGGTTATTGTGCCCACGCTGCCCGATGACGAGGATAACGATAACGATATCGATGACGATGATGAGGAAGATGAGCGCGATGCCGGCGTACATTTGCTTAGTCCCACAGAGCAGAGCACCTATCAAACGTTAACAGCCGTCAACAACAACAATAACAATAATAATAACAATAACAACAGCAGCACCCACAGCAGCACTACCAGCAGCAATACCAACAACAATAACAATCGCATATCAGCACCGATTTATAGTCCCACATCGTATGCGACCTTGACGCCAATACAACCACTACCGCCCATCTCAACAATGTCCGATAAGTTTGCGTACACGGGTCATATTTCCAACTCGAGCCCAAATGTAGCCGGTAATAGCAGCAGCAACAGTGTGGTAGCCGCAACGGGTCGTACCAATAATTCAACGGATGTTGCTGGCAACGATTGTAGTACCTTTGCCAGTTTACCGCTACCCATTGAAACGGGACATCATCATCAGCATCATCATCAACAGCATCAGCATCAGCATCATCAACATCACCACGGTTTGAGTTTGGGCGGTCTGCCTTATGCCAGCTATGATAAGCTACCTTCACTCATCTCAACGCCGCCGCATAACTATGCCAGCAGTACCTCGCCGGCACATGAGTTGCCTGGCCTGGTTGCGGGTGCTTGTGATTTGCATGGACACAATTCAACGGTCGTCGGCTCGTCGTCGTCACCGATTGCCGGTACGGCAATGTCACCGCACAAATCGGTTGGGCAACTTGTGCCGGTAGTTTTGCAGAAACAGGTGCTTTGTCTTTCGCCTGGTAGTGGCCTACCCGATGGCGTTGTCGTCAGCGACTATGAATCCTCTTACGGCCCGCCTCAACACGAACACGAGCTAATTAATGCGGCAAGCGGACGCAGCAGTTCGCAGTTGCGTTTGCAACATAGCCCTACACTGAGTCCACATTCAGCAGGCTCGGTAGTGTCAATGTCCCTGCATTCACCGGCCTCTGTCGTCACATTGCCGCACATGAATGGTTCGGTGAACACTTTAGCTGTGGATCTACCAGTTGTGGTCTCATTAACGCCGACACCTCCTCCTCCACCTCCGCCACAGTCCGGAGACGGTGCCAGTAGCTCGTTGGGTGTCAGCTTGGATGAGATGTGTCAGCGGCAACAACATCAGTCAAATGATTGCATGCCCACAAATAGTAATCCCAATCTGTGCAATCTAAATCAGTCCCAGCATCATCAACAAAATGGCTTTAATCAGGAGCAACCCAAACTGTCACCCAAGTCAGCAGCACCTCTAAACTCAACAGGTTCCGCTTCAAATCGTTCTTCTGACCTCGAGGAGATCAACACCAAGGAACTGGCTCAACGGATATCGGCGGAACTGAAGCGCTATAGCATTCCGCAGGCCATCTTTGCACAGCGGGTACTCTGTCGGTCGCAGGGCACCCTCTCGGATCTGTTGCGCAACCCCAAGCCCTGGTCGAAACTCAAGTCCGGCCGCGAAACGTTCCGGCGCATGTTCAAATGGCTTCAGGAACCTGAATTTCAACGCATGTCAGCGCTGCGCATGGCTGCTGCTCAGATTCCACAACGGCCAGCGAGTGGCATCAGTGTTGCTGGTAGTGCTGCTGGCAGTGCTGGTGGTAGTGCTGCTATTACCAGTGTTGGTTATGCAACCACTGCTGCAACGGGTGCGGCGGCCTCTACTGCGACACTGTTGGGCAACAGCGCAACAAATGCGGATGCTGCCCACGTCTCGACTCTTGCTGAGAATGGTGAGTGCCATCTATTCTTTTTATCCACATCAATTTTACCTTTTCTCTTTTAATATTGTTTTTACGTATACCTGAAATCATATTAAAAAATTTAAATTAATATAAGATTTGGGACGTGTTAATATTAGAAGAACAAAATTAATTTCGAAATAATCTAGATTCTAATTTAGCGTAGCTTCCTCTTCGTTTTTTTTTTTTTCAAATAAATAAAATAATTAATTTCAAGTGCTCAGCGTTTAATAAAAATAACATTAAGCAAATAAGTTTACTCTAGAAATGAATCCATTTGGCTTAAGTTAATGATCTTTCCTTATAAATATAATTAACTCTTATATCTCTCTTTTTTTTGCGCTATCAGCTTTTTGATGACTTTATTTTCCAATAATAACAGAAGGATATTTCCGTGATATAAAGTTTATTCAAATATACTTAGACTAGAAGCCATACGCTTTGTCTTTTCTATCAACACTTTGTTTATTAAAGCTACCGCTAAAGCTTCTCACAACGAGAATAACTAAAAACGGCAGCAGCCGGCCGATCGAGAGAGAGAGTGAGAGAGAGAGAGAGAGAGCGCTGCACAAAAAGAGAGCGCTGCTAACGCTGGCTGCTGCAGCTCAAACTGCACTTAACATAATGTGGATATTTAATTAAGACTAACAATAAGCTATTTATATTAAGCAACACAGGGCTCCAAGTTCAAATATCTTGGCAATAATCAATTGAAAGCTCTTTGCTGCTGCTGCCGACACTCTTCGTTAATTATTCATTTATTATATTCATTCATATATAAATATATAGAACTGCTTGGGTTTCTTAGGCGTTGTTTAAAGGAATTTCGATGACCATAATATTCTCTTATCTTAATATTACGATTGATTCTGGATATGTTTATTGAATATTCGATTCATCCAAAGCAATTTGGACTCTGTGCAAAATAATTGTTATTACCTCCATACAGCGATATAAACTCCGTCTTTTTGAAGTTCCTCCTTTCTATCTAATCGTCTTGATGATTAGTGTTTTGGTTATAGTTAAATTACTATATTTTTCAATTGCCTCTAGACTCTTACGTCTATATCCTTGCCCATTATCTTAACTGCTTTACTCTTAATAAATCATTGCCTGTACATTTTTCGAGTATTCTGTAAAGATTACAATAGCATCGCCGATATCTTGTATATATATATTTTTTTTAAATTTAGCTTTAAGTATTACAATTTATATTTTTAATTTAATGTAATTTATTTTCTACTGATATGAGTTGACATTAAATATATTATCAAATAAATAGATAATTAATTCAACAATAAATAAATAAATAACGTCATTTAAATAATTATTGTCCCTTATCCGCAGAAATGTTGAGTGGCCCTGGAGTTGTGGCCGGCTCCAATTGTCGTCGCAAGGAGGAGCCGCACATGGAACAAATGCCGCAACCGAAGAAGCCACGGTTAGTTTTTACCGATCTGCAGCGAAGGACATTACAGGCTATCTTTAAGGTAAGCATGATTCGGAGAACACAACAACAAAAAATCGCCCTGAAAACTTTAAAAATGTGCTGGTTTGTAGAAATAAAATCGAAATACTTAAAAAATGATTTCTTTACTATTTACGAGTATACTCTGCTTCTGGGAGGGAAAATGTCAAAAAAGCACCCTGGAAATTATAAAAACATTATCTGAGATACCAAAATAGCTATTCATTACAAATAGGCTTAAATATTATTATTAGTTTTTAATTAATTTCTCTGGTCATCAATTAAATAAATTAAAATTCCACAAGTACAATTTGATATTTAAAATGCTTTAAAAGTGTTGTTGCTGCTAGAATATTTATAATGATTAAATTAAATATTAATACTGCGAGACTATTTTAAATGATAAATTAAATATTTGTTACTGTTATAATATTTTTTATTATTTATTATCTGTGATATTCATAATAAATCATTTTAAATTTTATTACCAGTTTTAAATAAATTTCTCTGGTCCTAAACTAGATCAATTTTCCAACAAGTTCAATTTTTGAAATGCTTTAAATGAAATATCCTTGCTGCTAGAATATTTCAATTACTTTTACTGCGAGAATAATTTTAATGATTCTAAAACCAATTTTGTATGCCAAAAGAAGGTAGATTTTGGGTAGGGCGATTTCTCCACTTCACCTATGATGAAACGAGTACTAATTTATGAATATTGAATATTATTATAGGAGACAAAACGACCCTCAAAAGAGATGCAGGTAACAATTGCCCGCCAGTTGGGCCTCGAACCAACCACAGTGGGCAACTTCTTTATGAATGCTCGTCGACGATCGATGGACAAGTGGCGCGATGATGACACCAAGAATGCTCAGCATAATGCACACAATCGCCAGGAGCACCCGCAGGACGAACAGGATAATAGGGAAAGAGATATAGATAGGGATAGAGAAAGCAATAGTGGACAACATGGACAGCATTATGGAAGCAGTTTGCATACGACGGCAATGTCTCCATTGGGCAATTTTGATGATGATGGCGATATGGATTTAGAACTGGAGCATCATGATTTCCTCGTGGATGGCGATGAGCACGATGATATGTTGTGACATAATGGCAAAAACCCAAGAGAGCAACACAAACAGCAACAGCAACAACCTCTCACTCGCACCTATAATCATAATCATAATCAAAGTCAGACGGATTCGGATGAGAATCTAAGATCAGATCGTCCATTGCGGCAGTGTTTAAGCAATCGTCTCATGGCAGACAGGCAGACAAATTGCCAGCTAGATCTGGATTCAGATCACAATCAGGATTCGAATTCGTTGCCGAGCGGAGATCGCTGGCCATCGCCCAGTTTTGTGGGTCAGCATTCGGATGATAATATCGTCGTCTCCGACTGCATTGAATACTTCAATGGTCAGTTTGTCGATGTTGTCGATTGTCACGATAGCATCCTGGATAGCAATAGTATCAATGCCTCCAAGCTGGGCACGATGAGATTCGGCTTGAAGTATTACAAAGATCCCACTTTGAAAATTGTTGAGCATGATTCGTTGGTTCACTGAGATTTCATTTTTGGATACTTAGAAGGGTGTCAAACCGAAACAGGTACCGATGACCCGATAACCCCTCATAGAAATGCCGAAACGGATTTAAATCCACAAACGAATATCATACTTTTAACCACAAAATTATTTCGCGATTCGCTTTAAAATATAACAAGCATCCCACAATTATTAATTGAAACCGACAGGTTATCAAATCGGTAACGGTATCGTCATAATGCCTAATAGAAAATTGCCCATTAATATAATAAATTAAAAAACGTTGCGGTTCAGTTCTTACCTGATTTTTTCGCGTTTCCGATGTAGATTTTAAAGATTCAATGAGCTTAAACAGCAATACTTTAATTAGACCGGGAACCGTTAATAACTAAAACCGGTTAGGCAAGATACCATTATTAAAAATATGGAGTCAAATTTAAAACCGGAATAACAATTTCATTTTATTATCAAATAATGAAATCAATTTTAGTAGTGTGGTTTTTAATTTTTGTTTTTAACTTTTCTCTCGCAATGCTATGCAGCTGTACCGTTTGGTACTTATGCCCAATCGGAACTGATAACGCCTTATAACTAAATTTAAAATTGGCATATCCAATTATTAGCAACAAGATCGGTCCTCACTATCTTAGCTTTGTCATGGGAGACAGTTTAGGTTGTTAAGCCGGAACCGAACCAAACCGTTAATGCAAATTGACTGCCTGAAGTGCAAAAAATTACAAATGAAATAATTGATCTCTTACAATTTACTATTTCCATTTGCCGACAATTATCATAAAAAATCAAATCAAATATTTTCACAAAATTCACAAAAGTTAACAGTTATAGTTAAGTTATAATACACGATGGGAACCGGAACACAAAATTCAGATCGTTTCAGGTTTGGCACCTTGGTTTATATAAATAATTGAAGCTTTATTGGAGACATGCTGGAACTTCACATAGCAAAACACCTTCAAATTTGATTGGAAAAAAAATGGGAAACTCGATACTTTGCCACCCCCCACTTGTGTTTTGAATATTTCAAATGTTCTCGCTAGCTGCGAGTTTAAAACATAGTCGAGTATACTAGCTTTTCTTTTATTTATTTATATGTATTATTTATTTATTATATTTTGTATATTTGTATTTATAATATTTTTAAAAAGCATCCATTGGGTTGTGCAATTTTCAACTGCCCTTAGCTAAAAGAATTTGTAAATTTGAAAAACGCAGATATTTTCCCAATTAAAACCTTGCCGAAAGATTGAGAAATCTTCTCTACTTAACTCATTATAAATCATTTTAAATCTATATTTTTTCTGATCATAAAATGGCGCTCAAGTTCCATTTAAAAAACACCCTGAAAATTATACATATTGTTGCTAAATTTTAAAATAATCCAGGCTAGAATTAAGAATAGAAAAAGCTGATTTCTATCAAGACATATATACTTTCTGAATAATAAGGGCGTTAAAATTTTCGCGAAAAAATATACTTCAAATTATTTTATGTTTGAATTTTTTAAAATTACTCTATCTAGAAAAATTCATTTTAAATATTACTTTTTTAATTAAGTTCCCTGGTCATAAAATGGTTCAATGTGAAATATAAAATTCCACAATTTCCATTTGATATTTAAAGTGCTGTAAACTTAGATGAAGATGTACTTTGTTAGCTGGTATTTCTTGTAATATTTTTAAGTGTTTGTTTTTTTGCTTCCCTTATATTTTTCTTCCGTTCCGATTGTGTCCATGATCCATCCAAGGCAATAATAATAAAAATAATTTAAGCCATAGTTAAAATACGAATGCAAAAATAAAAAAAATAAAAATACACAAAAAACAATTCCTTTTTGTACCTGACCCAAAAAAAAAAAAAAAATGAAAAATTCCAAAAACTTTTCACACACAGAATTGTAGAAGATGAATAATGTTTCATGTGTGGCAATATGTATATGAACTTTCCTATGTAAACACACACTCACACACACCCATGTACATAAATATATAAATATATATATTTAATGCCGATTTAGAGACGAGTGATGCAAACTTAAAAAAAAACACAAAAAATTCACAATAAGTATATTTGTCGAAAAAAGTGAAACTACACATGTATATCTAGTCAAATTTATATAAAAAATATGCTATATAATATTAATAATAATAAAAATAAAAAAATAATTAATTATGTGCAGCACACACTTAAATTTAAAATAACAGAAATACAAGAAAAATAACACAAAATGTAAATAATTTAAATGCGCTTTTACATGATCGAAATTAATATTTTATGAATACGTCGAGTCTGTCGTATATTATATATATATATATATATATATATATATATACATATATACATATATATGTATACACTTGCCATTTATGTATGTAAATAAATTTACATATATCGTTTTTTGGGTTTTGCAAATATTTCCATTTGTATTCTTTCTCACTGATTGTAGAATCCAAGCAATTTGACAACAAGTAGTAGTATATATACATGTATATTGGTAAATTATTTACTTTTATGTGTGTGTACGCAATACATATGATTATGAATTAATTGAATATGAATACGAACGCGAATACTCATGAATGAATATGAGTGCTATGATGTTGATGATGTATGCTAGTCAATTTAGTTTAAAACGAGGTGCAAATACATACATACACAAATACAAACACACAAACACACATACATACATACATAGTTACATAACAAAAATGCACAGAAAAAACACTTAAAGAAAAACAAATATTGGAAATACAGAACGAAAAATTACATAGACCCATTCAAAGTATAAATATTTACTTATGTATAAATAAATAAATGCAATGAATAAAACAAATCCAAATTAAATGCAAAACAATATGTTTATCATTTTTATAAAAAATAGATTTTTTATTTTTATTTATGAGCGCCGAAAATAGTTACTGCTTATTGTTATTTTTTTGTACTTGTGAATAATTTAATACATTAAACAAATCCAAATCGAAATGTATCTCAATTTTATAAAAACTTGTTTTTAATTTGTATTTATTTCATTTCTATGAATAAAATAAATCCAAATTAAATGCAGTCAAATACTTTTTATTTTCAATTAAATCAATTTTTATTTGTATCAATTGTTATTATTTATTTTTGAGTAAATTATTTACGTAATTAAATAATAAGTGCAAATAATAATAAAAAAAAAATAAATGAAAATCGTAAATAAATAGATTTTTATTTTTGTGAATGTAATTTATTGTTATTAATAATATTTTTTTTTGTGTTTTTGAGAATTTTATGGTTAGCCTTTTGTAGAATTGTCATAATTTCTACAATTACCTTTTCTACAAAATTATTAAATTATTTAATATAGTTCACCATTTAGTAGCAGTTGCCTTTTTGATTCATATTTAAAAAAAAAAAAACGCATACAAATCATAGACACTTCTAATTTGTGATTTTAATTATCGCAATAAATAAGTTAAGCTTTTAATTGTCCAACGATTTTCGTTTCCCCTCCAAGCACAACTTTGCCACATGTATTTTGAATAAGAACCTAATAGACAGCATAAAAAAGCGATTCTGCAAAGGAAATGACGAATTGATGATTTCATTTTCGAAAGGAATAAACAAATAATATATATATTCTATATTTATATAGATATCTATATATATATATATTGATATATATTGTTGCATTTGCAGACATATCGATACTCAATTATCGTATGCCACAACCAAAAGTGAGATTTAAAGGGCCACATTGCTGAAAAGCGGGAGCAAGTTGGCAGGGTCAGCAACACCAGCATTGCATGTGAGGACATTCTCCGCAAGGTGGCGCGCTGAGGGTTAGAGTTAAGAACACATGTGGAAAAAAAAAAACGCAGTGAGGCAGGTCGTGGTCCTTAGCGCTTAAATTTGTGTGCCGTACGGATCGAATGCTTAAGTACATTTAGGAGTGCCTTGACCCTCCATATTCGATAGACCTTGCGAAGCCAAATTCGGCGTAAGTGTGTCTGTTTGAATAAATGTTGTGCTGTGCTAATTTTGTGGTTTATGTTTAGGTGGCCGACGGCAGGTCACGCCGCAATTCTGCAATTTATGTCATATGCTCCGAAGTTGACGCAACAACGACCTGGCCGTCGCGCAAAGATTGCTGGATACGCCCTCGAAGCTACTGCGAGGGAAGCACTGGGCGAATACACCATGCCCTGATATTGGCAGCGCGCAAGCGCACCGACGGTATTTCTTCAGCCGGTGAGTGCGTTCCGATATGGAATAAGTGCCATCGGGATAAGCCTTCAGTAACCAGCCGCGTAGCTCGAGCGCAGTATACTCAATCGACCCAGAATCCAAATAAAACTACAAATTGTAAAAAGAAAAAAAAAACGGCAAAGAGAAACACATGTCAAAATAAAGTGCGAGTCGAATGCGCGCATGTGAGCAGTGCTCCAGCACGCCCACCCCTCCTCCAGTATATTTATGTAAATGTTGAATGTTAGGTTAACCAAATTTGTTGAATGTTATGTTAAGCTATTCGTTATTTATGTTAATGTATTTATTTATTCACACATCTAATATTAATTTAAATTTCTAAT